AGTCGAATAAGTTTTCGTCCTGGGCTGAATCCATTTAACGAAAGTGGGAAATAAGCCTCAAGGGTTGTTATTTGGTGGATTTGAAAATTCTATCAAACTTCTTCTTTTACCTCATTCTTTCACTCTCCTCTCATTTTTTGAAATTTATTCCACTGTTTCATTTAACGGATAACGTGCTATACGTATTATACACGTATTATATGTGCTTACGTGTTAAATTATCTTGAGGAATTGGAAGCTATGCATAAGTTAGACCGATTTAACCACATTAGCAAAGAAAATAACAATAGTAATAGTATCCGATACGAGTATACTAAATTAGAAAATAAATAAGTTTTCTCCACTATTATTATTATTACTCAATAATAATAAGGCCAAACAGATGGATAATAAAATGCATTGGAATAATTTCTTGTAAAGAGTAGCAATTTGAAGAAATTTCTCTATAAAATCTTAGAAGAAAGTAATTTATATGCAAGACATCTGTCAACAAGCCTTAATAATAATAATATGATAATGCAATGTATATTTTGATGATCAATTATCTAAGTAATAAATGATTTTTTTCTAGGTCATAGTGACATCTGCGCTACCTATTTTGATCCCCATCTATTTAAATGATGATTGTTCCTATTGAAACCCTTAATTTTTCTCTTCCCTCCCTTTATCCCCGGCTCTCTCTAACCATCAAAATTAACAATAATTTTATAGAATGCCATAAAAATTTAATCATTCAAATATCTAATAACTTTTGGCAACTTTTTCCCAATCAAAATATCATCCTTTTCAGAACTATTTCCATTCCCTCCATACACCATATTATGAAATGAATTTAAAAAAAAGTTGTGATGTCGTAGAATGTTGTAGAATTAATTGTTCTTCTTTAGAGGAAAATTTTTTAATATATGATTATTACAGGTTATCATTCTCAATTAAATTAATAATTTCATACATTTATTTCATAAAAGAATGGATGATGAAATCTGTAAAGAATGTTGTCGAATGTCTTTTACATTCTTTAATATTGCATGAAAATTTCCATTCGTAAATAATAAACCCATTATTTTAATTTCTTCAAAAACAAAAATGAATTAATGAAATGGTTTGCCGTTTTTTTTATTGCTGTCAAATTCATCAAAATGTTAATTTAAATGATGCAATTAGTGATTTATGTTGAAATTTTAATCTTTCAACAAATTAATATGAATCATGGTTCCATTAAATGTTCACTATTTTTAAATGATGATTAGTGATATAAATTTAATTTACTTCATTGCATCATACTACTTATACAAGATTATTATATTGTTAGTATGATACAAATTTAGCTAAGTTAAATTTTATTTAATTTAGATAGAAAATATTTAATTGAGAAAATGTTCTGAAATCTTTTTAAAAATATTTAAAAACATTTCAAAATATTTAAAGTTGAGAATTAACAATTGCTGGCATTCGAACTAATGGAATTATTAGTAATATATATATATATATGTATATCAAGATATGAACGGAGGAAAAGTTAGACTACAAAGAATTTCTTACATTAACCGATAATATAATTAGCACAGGTAGAAATATGTAAAAATAAATTGCCATCAGTTAGATATGATAGTTTTAGTCTACCATTTCGTTATATTACATCAAATTTCATTACTCTTGCTTATAATTCAAATGACTTTTGATTGAGTGGCTTAGAAATGCTAGAACTTGCTAACTAGAAATGCTTGAACTTGCTAACTGAAGCAACCTAAATCTGATATCAGAAATTTAATTTGATCTATTGATTTTATCTAAAGAGACATTTCCGCTTTTAAATACATCCTGGTATAGCAAGAAATAAAAACAATCGGAATTTGATAACAGTGCCGGATTCTAAATTATTAAAGAACTGCTTCAATATGTTTTACAATTGTCTATTTTTTTCTTGAAAAGGCAAAACAAAACTTTAGAAAAGACGTTTAGCTCTATTTCATCAAGAAATTTAAATTTTGAAAATATATAAGACAGTTAAATAATTTAAGAACGCAATAAATAATCGGATAAATAATCGGATAAAGCCATATTAATTTTTCCGGTACTACTGATGTGAATATGATCAGGAAAAAATAAAAAATAAACAGGATGATAATATCAGTCAGAAGTAATATTTAAATTATCAACGAATGAGAATCAAAGACAATAACTGATCAAAACTACTTGAATTGAGCATTTGTGATCTTTAAGAGAATCATAGAGATAAGAAAGCTTTAGATAATCTCATGATCTTGAAATTTTTGTATTAAAAAATTAGACATATTTTTTCCATTATACTAAATGATAAATGATAATGACATTTAATTATATTATTGTTAATAACATATCAGTAAGCGAAATTTTGTTATGGATAAATGGGATGATAAAATGACATTTGAGAAGAGGAAAATTTAGAGCTTACGCTTGTGCATCCAGGCTTTTCTCACGAGCGACATAGTTTGATGGAATGTAACCGGACAAATTGGTCGTTTTACTCTTAGCATACCACCAATCGCCCTGCATATCGTTCAATATATACAATAATTCATCCTTCTTGAAACTTAGATCTTCGTCTGTTCGTGCGTCGTAATCGAATAATGCCACAAATAGTGGTGGACTAGTATTGGGCAGTTTTGTTGCAACCGTTGTGACGCAATTTGTTTTAGTATGATTTCCGGTTGATTGTTCAATGACGATTGCAGTAGGAGTAGATAGAGAGGTAGTGGAATCAACCACAGGAATTATTGCAGTTGGATGGACTGCTTCCAGAACAGCTGATGATGATTTTTTACCCAGACAAGAACCCATTTATTGCTCATAAACTAATGCAGTTCACATATGGCCCATACAAATGATTTTAGGGCAAAAAAAGGAAAAAAGCACTGAGTCGATATTTATCAGATTTTCCTGGATAATACCTTTTCGAATCCAGAATATTTGCAGGATCACTACAGTAATGTCAGATGGTTTGATTGTTAGTATGTGTCAGAGGTTACCATTCGAAGATCAAATCCTTGCAATAAACATAGATGGAGAATAATTTTAGATGATGAAAAGATCTATAGGGTGTATACGTACGACACAATGATGAAGCCGGGCAGTAAGTACACCATACAAACACACATACAAACACGCACACACACACACACACACACACACACACACACACACACACACACACACATATATATATATATATATATGTATAAATTACATATATCTGTACATAACCACGAACTACTTGCCTCTCTTCACCTTACTTGTCGTTACTGCTCTACCATTGAACCAACTAAGGAGGTTTTTCGAAATGACAGCTCTCCCACTGTTAAACTAAACTGAACACAAACCAAAATTGTCTGTATCTGTCCACTACCTATTTCCAGTGATCCATACACACACATACAAACACAAACACACACACATATATACACACATACACATAGACATACATCTTAGCCGGTACACTCAAACGTTGATTAATAAAAAAAATTCGAAGAGAGCTTGTGCACACTATTTCACCATATTGCGCAAAAACTATCTCGAAGGCCATCCAAATAAATGCATGTTATATAATGAGCTAAGTGCCGATGAGTTTGAACATTACTTATCCTACCTAACATGACTGACCTGAATGTGACATTTTCTCTTTCAGGTCAATATTTGCTTCGAATGCTGCAATATTTAACTTTCGAAGCAGAGTCAAGCGATTATCTACGTAATGAACAATGATTTTATCTTGACACAAGTATTATCAAAAACAAAAATGTACAAAAACGGCAACCCATAACATTGCAAGAATTTATCAATTTGTTTCCATCTCTTCTTCCATCTCTTGCCTAACTTCACCAGTACTACTGGCCTGTTTTTTCGACTGCAAGGGAGCACGTATCAAATACACCTTCTTTCGAGCCTTCTGTATATCGCCAATGCGTTTGACGACTTTACCGGGTTGTAAAGTTCTTCTGATATGCTCACCGTAACGTTTCTCACGCAATGCTATTACTTCTTTGGCAGCATCAACTACAAAACGCAAAATGAAAATGGCTATACTTGCAGAAAAGACATTAATAAATTAAAGATAAAGAGAGAAGTAGAAAACGAGAATCGCGAAACTCAGCGAAGAGTAAAGGATGTGTCCCTCAAAACACTAAATAAGATCAGTGAATAAATTTCGACAGTGACAGTTTTGATTTGAAAGTAACACCTGTCTTTTTTTAAAAAGTGGTAAAACAAAAGAAGCATATATGATTAAAAGAAAACCAAAGTTGTCATTGTATACACCCAGAATTATTAAACTTAACCGTGTTTCAACTTCCAATACGAAGGACAGAATAGAGGTCGGGGCGTACAAGTTGATAAGGAAGTCTACTACTAATTGAAGGTGTTAAGAATTAAGTAGAAACACAAATTATTGCCCAATACGATAAAATAGCTTGGGTAATAACACTCATCTCCGTCACTGAAATATTTCTACCATTATAGTGTTGTAACTTTAACTAAAATTCACCTGCTTTATGCCACAATTGACGCTCATACTTCAGCGGTTCATTACGTCGTGCTTCAACATTAAATGTGCTATCATTTTTCAGCTCCTTGCCTCGTGCCATACGCGAAGCTTTCGTCCATCCTGTCTTTCTTGGATTACGCTTCTTCTTGAACAATTTGTGACATTTTGAACGACAAAACCGAAACACCTGTAGAATCGTTACTAGACTAAAAGGAGTCCTTCAATTCAATCTACTTCAGCACTTAGTCGTTGGCCATAGATGAATTCCACTCACTTCATACGACCAAAACAAAGTATAAATTGACAAGAATATTACGAAATACGAAAATTAATTACAGAGTTCATATAAACGTAGTTCAATATTCGCGATGAAAATCCTTTTCCTCATTTCCGTTTTACATTACTCAATTCCCCAGCTTCAACAATGAGAAACAAAACTTACGGTGCAATCATTCCTGACGAATGTAATTCCATGACCGGGATAGATATTAGAAGAGCAAAAATAACACTTCTCAATTCTCATTCTTCGCAATTTAAATTATTTAATCTGAAATTTAATTGAAAAAGATCCAATAAAGAATATTGTTGCGAAAGAGAGCCTGAAATTTACAACGTATTCAACGACCAAAAAAAGCGCAATTGCAATCACTGCAACTTTAGGGATGCCATCAATAACCAAACCGCTTAGCAATCAACTAAGCCATCAAAGTAAATAACTCTTGCGCAAGAATCCATAACAGGGCCAAGATCAATCCGCTCCCTCCGACCATCATAATATGAAACTGTCCGAATATGAAATACCAGTCCTCCGTTCTCGTTCATTCGGAATTCTTAGAACTAGGAAGAGTATATCTCGGGAAGAAATGCGCACACGAATTAAGGATGGTGGGGACATAACAGTCACACTTAGCGCAGACTTCACGTGTTGTTTCATTCAGCGTAAACATAACGGAAGAAACTATCAAAGGAGAAGTGCTAGGGTCGCAATTTTCATGTATATCCCTTCACTTGTGATCAAACCATACCACGTGACGAAGAAATGTTGAATTTCAAGTTGTCAGTGGTTGTTCATGTGTAATAAGCAAGCGGTATTGTATTGGAAATGATTCGATGTGCCTATGTGTGACTTGTGCTAGTGTTATGAGACATAACGAATTTGAAGAGGATTAAAGATTGAAAACATTAAGAATAATATTAGTTAGAGATTGAATATTATGAATGCAGGCAGATGACGAGTCTGGTGAGATTATAGATTAGGATTAAAAAATGCGTCGCTGGGAAATATTCTTTATAATTTTGACATGTGCTGAAAAATCACAAAATGTAGTTACTGATGAGGAGAAAACAGAGATTAATGAAATTTGTGTTGTCTAACGTTATAGGCTGAGAAAAAATATAAAATATACTGCAAATGTTGGTGTAAAGATAAAAAGTATGCGAGAGAGAGTATGTAATAAACGCTCCCATATTGCAAATGTATTTTCAGAGACATTTCATCAAGAGTTAATTAGCAACCAGTTGAAATGAGTATAAAGGAAGATACTGTAGGAGGTAATAATGAAGGAATGGAATGATTTTTGCAGGCTTTGGTGGACAAAACATGTATCGTCGACAATTGGAACGTGGAAGGAGATCGAAACGTGGTTTGGTACGTGAAATTTATTGACTTCTGATATGATCCGAGCATTTTTTGCATTTCGAATTATTAATATTATTATAGGTACCGATGTTAGAAAGACGAACTGTTTGGCGTGACCACAATTTGAGTCCTGTTGTTGAAAGAGACCAATATATGGCGGAAAGTACACGTGGTTGTTATCATAACCGCTCCGGACGACGTGACAATTTTACGGTAGAAGCCTTTGTTTCATTTTTCGTTTAACGTTAAGAATGGGAAATTTTATTTATCAGGAAGGATTGGGGATATTTCTATGTTACTTGTCATGACGTTTTTTATGCATCTTTAAAGCTAAAGAGTTATCATTGGAAACAGAAATGCAGATTAACTGGAAAGGTTCGTTAAGTTTACATCCCTTCGCTGGCGATGATTACATTGTGTTGTGATTTTGAAATCAGCTCAGGGTTTATGTAGTGCTGAACGCATGATTGGCAGTGGCATTATTTAATCTTCTCTCACATCCAGCATTTATAATTTTGCTAATTTTCCACCATTCATCGATCAATCGAGGAGAAAAACTATAAGGAGCATTTTAAAGATGATTATGAAGAATGAAGTTAGACATTGACGATGTGTTACAGAAAATCTCTTGTCACGTACGGCACTCATGATGTCTTTCATCTTCGAACTTTGTTGTTTGGTCTTGATATGGGGGATCTATTCTAATGGACATCTTACTGGTAGCGACTACACGCTTACGTTATGATACGACTGAAACATTTCGACTGTCCTTTCGAAGTAAATTGTAGCAGTCTTGCAAATGACACCGTCTTGATATCTTACTGGTAGCGACTACACGCTGTCTTAGGAACATACATATTGGATATTTCAGCGGTTTGATGCAGAAAGTTTAATGCAGGATTTTTCACTGCTTATGTCATGATCGGTACTAAATTCTCAAGAATCAGCACTTACCATTTTGATGGGAACAACGTCTCCCGACATATACGTTAATGAAGTCAGATATTGTTGCATCATGCACTTGCTTTCAATTTTTTATACATATCAGAGAGACAAATCGGAAGTGGTGGACGTATAGTTTGAAATTTTGCATCACTGAAATGGGTATTTTGATTGATTTGGTGATGCAGAAGCACGTATTAATGAAAACATCAGAATACATACTGGGAGGAATTGGAAATTTTTGAACAAAAGTGCGTATATTTGCATGTGGATTTAAGAGAATATTCATATTTCGAAATGGTTCCTAATTATTTATGTGTGAATTATTTATATGCAAATTCTGCTTTTGAATGTGAGAAGTAGTCATTATGTTCTTCTAAGGTCTATGGCAGTGGAAAGATGTGCAGTAGCTTGGCATTTTTTCGTCACTCTAAGATCTTAAGTAATATTTGCTTAGGTTGCTTTAGTGGTTTTATTTCACGTGCAATAATTAATTATTTTTTCAGCATTTTGTTTTTAACATCTGAAATCTGTTATGTATGTGTACAACGGTGTTCGGAGATATCAATAGCAAAAAGGAGATATCTAAAAATCGCTAGAAAAAAATTTCTTATTGAAGTAAAATTGAAATTCAATAAGGATTGAAGATGAATGAAAGCAATTCATCAAGTGGTCGTCAAAGGCATCGACACAGAGAACGGTTGGATAGCAACAGTGAATTAAGCAGATCGACTACCAGGATTTCACCTACGTCAGTTAGAACTGGGCCGATGGAAAATCGCGAATATTTGTATGTTGCACGTTCAGCTTTGCTTTGATTTATGTTTGGTTTTCTGCTTTCTACATTCGTGTCATCAGAGAGTCGAACGGGTCTTATTTAATTTGTGCTTTTCTGGGAGTCTAATTTGAGTACACTTGGGCTAACAAGTACTATATATTTTGGAAACATGACAATAGTAGGGAGATGATTTGACATAGGACTTCTGCTTAGTTGGCGGCTGCTGCAGTAGATATACTCGTGGTCGCGTAGTCATGGAAACTATTCTCATACTGTCCTATACAAAATAATTGTAAGTTCAGCTCCAGAGTATTATCACTACATTTTAAAATTTCTTCCCTTGCATTACTGCTGCTCTTCTTGACGACAATTGGTAAATGGTTGAATAAAAACTGTACGTTGTCGATCAGTTGAAGGAGAGACATCGAATAGAAGACACCAAATTATGAAGAATTTCCAGCTTTTGAATTGTGAAACGCTTTCTTCAGTTTTTATTGCTATTAATTCTCCATCGGATAGTTTGAAACAGAGATAACCTCAGCTTTTATTTCCGATAGATGCGTTACCTACATTCACGATATGGTTTATCATATTCAAGAACATTCTGCTAAACGAAAAGCCGGATAAATTGCAGAATGGATTTAGTAATGGCTCATATAAAATGATTTTTGCATTTCATTTCTTCGTGAGGCGTTTCGATGAACAAGAAACATATCTTACTGTTGGCATTTTTTGAAATTATGGTTTTGCTAGGGATGGGTAGATCCAGCATGGAATGCGAAAATTTTCAGTCTTTTGGGTGCTAATTGTTTATGCTGGACTGAACTTGGCATTCTAACTGGAGAAAAAGTTGGAATTATGTTTGTCGAGCATTGGCACGAAATGTAAAATCAGTTTTCAGAATGATCATTAAACAGCTCAGATATTCTATATTAGTTGTTTACAATCATCTAATGTCACTGCGATTTCAAGGCATATTTGATCTAAATTCTTGACTAATACTTTATTCTATCTGATTCTATATTGTGATGCATAATAACCGACAACTTTTTAAATCAACTTTACATTTTTGGATAAACGACAGAAATTCTAGAACGGTACATATATTTGTCGAGATTTATTCATAAAGATATTCATTAAGAATGCAGGACTCTAACATTCAAATAATTGGAATGAAATATTTTGAAGCTCTTTGCACGGTTTTTTTATGAATGACGAAATTTCGTGAGAACGCTAATCAAGTGAAAAACTAAATGGGACATCGCGGAGAATAGTTTCGTCGTAAATGATTGGAGCGCATCGAATTGTATCAGTTGTAGTGAATGATTTCGAAAGATTTTGTTGCGCATTGGATGGTTTCCAAAATCAACCATATGATCGGAGAACTTCACTAACAATTATTGCTCCTGTTAAGTGCTGCCGTCGGAAAATGTCAACTTTATTTAGTGGAAACATCAATTTCAGTTCAATTGAGTTGAATTCTGTGAATGTTGGATTACATACCCGTTGCATATTCAAATATGGTTACGATAAAGTGAATGGTGTTTATATGTGAGCAGGATGAATCTGGGAAAGTGGATAATAGTTCATTAAAATGAAATTTAAAGGACAACTTAGTGTGATAAAGTGAAAATTTAATCTGGCTGTGTATGCAGAATATTATTTAACAAATCTGAATTGGTGAAAAACACATCTCGTCAAAATTGGACTGTAATAACGAATCTATATGGAGGGATTATTAGTATAAACAAGTCAAGGAACTGAATGAATTACTGATATTATTTCGCTTGGTTTTTGAATGGAAAATCATTAATGTGTTTTTGGTTTGGCTGAAGCATTTTCTTATAGCAGTTCATTTTAAGGGGACGTGAATTAGCAAAGCGCTATCGAGGACACGATCGAATGGTTGCTATAGATAGTGTCAGGAGTGAAGAAATTCGTCCACATGATGAAGCTAATCGTGATGCCAATCAAATACAGCTATCAGAATATGGCGGTGGCCGGATGCAGAATTATCACATCCAGACCGACTCTCAGCTTGCTGCCGAGGGAATCGCAAGAAAAATTAGCAGCAGTAATTTTTTCGGAATTTGTTTTTTTGTTTCTGATTTGAATATCTTTTGCTACAATTTCCCTCTGGGTTTTCAAAAGTCTGCAATTATTATTTGATGTAAACGTCAGACATAAGTGCTCTTTGTTTCGACCGGAATATTCTGTAGTCTGTAAGGCAGTATTAATTTTCCAGTTTAGGCTTATCAAATTGGCGTATAGAGGATTTGCTAGGAGGACAGTCAATGCTCAACGCAGATAGTATACAGAGTTTGTTTTTGTATCAAATGTTTTTTTTCGTTTTGGTGTTGCTGGATTAGTGAGTGACACCAGGAAAATTGCAGTTTCGAAGCAAGCATTTAACTCATTCTTAATACAATCTTTCTCTCTGACATTTGTCTCATCAAAATTCCGGCTATTGTTTTTTGATTTTTCCCTAGTCAACTAAGAAGTACCGTCACTGACTTGGCATTTTTTAAGTGGCAAAAACAGCTGCAACATTTTCAAGCCTTATTTCTACTCGTTCTATTCCATCATTCGGGTCGGATTTCAGTAAACTTTCTATATACCACTATGCTCCTCATGGATTTATTAAAATTCGACATTTAGATGCACAGGCGTGGATCACCAACGATAACAGTTTAAGCCCGGCACAAGTAGTACGCGCTCGTGAACTTCTTCAAGAATTGCTGATTACAATCACGACAAAACCAGATGGTAGGTTTCTGGAAGATCTGATTGATGATTTTCGGTAATTCAAAATCGCACTGATTTGTTTCAAATGGTTAAATTTCTTTCATATAAATAGAATTTAGGGAGAAATGTTCCTGCTGCGATGCGGCGGTCTATTTATATCGCAGAAAGTAGTTTTCCAGAAGATACGCCGTCAAATTTCGTAGCTGGTCGTCGGATTTCTGATTATACCTCGTCACGAAGTTTTTCTCAGCATAACACCCAATCTCCATTACGGAGTGATACTTCAGTACTTGGACGAGAACTGCCGGTTATTCAGAATTCCTTGCCTCTCAGTGTACCATTAACACTTTCGGCGCAAAATTGGCGTGACGATTCTATAACGTTGTATTCTGATTCCGGTCAAATGCCTATGAGTTCCCGAGAAATATCCAAAAATCCCGATTTTCGTACGCTTTATCATAAAATTTTATTAGATCATTCTATTTTAATCTTAATTTATTCCTGTTACGGTTTTTAGCTCGTATTTTCAATTACAGATTTTATTATTCAGTATTTATCATTTATTATGCTGGGGATTGGTTTCCATTAAATACACCACATTATTTTTCTCTAAAGCTTCATCCAGTAGATATATTCTACAACAGGTTGTGGCTTACGAAATGAATATCCAACACCACGTGTGGAAAACGCTGAATTGATAGGAAGCAATGCTAGAAAACACGATGCGATTCTTTTAGGATCGGAAAAGCGAAGACCACACTATCAGGACCGTCGTCGAATATCTCGGTCTAGAAGTCGTAGCTTAGAACAAGATTGCGGTTAGTGCCGAAATATTTTTCTGTAAAACTTAATTTTCCGAAAGTTATTACTATAGTTTTTCACAGGAACACATTTTATTTATCGAAAAGTCTTTTTTTTCCAGACACTGGCATTGGAGAACGGCGGGTACATATGAAATCTCGAGGTTTTATTAGCGTTGAAATAAATCATCCACAGAAAGCATCTCGCAGGAACTACCTATCATATGAGGTTTCCGGTTTAATTATTTGTTTGTGAGTAAAATTTCGGAACTTATGATAGTGAGTTGCTCACTATTATAAGAATAAATGAGAAACACCTGAAAATCACTGCCTTATGTATTTGAAAACTACTTTAAATGTTTTGTGCGGCATGGGTTTTAAGAGCAGTATGCGTTTTAGTATTTCTAGTCTTGTGGAAATTTCAGATAAATCGCAGCCGTCACAGAGAAAATAGAGATGACAGAAGTTTACGTCGTTCATCATCTCTTACGCGCGCTGTGGGAAGACATAGAAGATAAAAATGGAGAAGAAAAGTTATTTTGAGCTTATGGAATTATATCATTTTTTCAATTAGAGTCGGATTTGTATTATTTGTTATCAAATATTTTTATTAGTATGTAAGCAGCGGTGACTTGATTTGATTAATTTCTTCTGTTTGTAAGGCTGGCAGAGAATCAATCAGAGATTTAATCGGCTTTTGGGAGTAAGACAAAAGCCAGGACTAAATCTAATCTGTTACATATGCTTTTTTTTCTTTGCTACACGTTTTCATCATGTGCTTTTTCTTTCAGCTTCTCATTTTTTGTTTTTGCTGTTGTGACATTTTTCGGCGTTCTTGTCACTTTATTTCAATAAATTTATGCCTTTTTTCTTTCTGTATTATTACTCAATTAATGTTTGCAACGAGATTTTCCATTCTAATTTTAAATCTTTGAAGAAATTTTATTTTTATATTTTCTATGAAATGATATTTTGCCCCAAAATTCCACCTTTGTTGATGTTATAATACTACCTTTTATAAAAGCTTCTTTACAATAACTCACTCTACACAGTAAATTGTGCCAAGTCTGACTTCCTGCGCTATGGGATTGAAGAAAGCACGAAAACATAAACATTTAGGGGAATTAATTGTGGGCTTGAGGTGGTTGAAAATTTGTGAGATTGCCAAATAAATTAGATATCGTTTTTATTGAAATAATGCTGTGAAGAAATGTTACATGAACTCTAAAAAATCCTGAAGAAATATTATATGAAATTTTATAATTCTTGTTTTTTATCAAGATGGCACATACGAGTTCATCAGCAACAATTGAATTAGCAAATGAGATGAAAAAAATAATAAGACTGTCTGGATCAAGTTAGTTTATTTTCATGAATTCTTTAATCTAAATTCCTTTGATCTAAGAAAAAATTTCTTTGGTCCAATGATCATTAGTTAAAGGGTAGTACTGGTAAGACATCTGAGAGTTCTCGCCGAAAGTATGGCTTTGTATCCCTAAGAGAAAGCAATGCTTCTTGTCATTGAGAGCTTAATTAGAGCTTAGATAATGTTTCAATGAATTGCTGTTGACCTATTTGCACATCTATTTCTTTATAGACTATGGTGAGGCGATTCGTCGTTGTTTGCAAATATTTGAATCAGGTGGTATAGTTGCGTTACCGACGGATACATTATATGGCGTGGTTACAACGATGTCGAATGCTGATAAACTGTATGAGTTAAAGCGTCGTAGTCAATTAAAACCTCTCGGTCTATTTGTTAGCAACGTTCGAGAAGTTGGACGGTTTGTCAATTTATTAAGTTTTTTCATGACTCATAATAAATGTCAGTAATAAATGGTATATGTAGAATTACTTTTTGCAAAGTATATCCTCAAAAAACGATTATGAATAGTAAAAGATAAATGTTAATTTAATTTTAAAATCTGATAGTTGCTTTATGTAATGAATTAACGCGAAAGAATTTTTTTCAACTTGCAATTTTATTATTAGATGGTGTCATCGTCAAGCGATCGAAAACAGTCAGCTGAAGACACTATTGCCGGGACCGGTGACATTAATTTTTGAACGTTCTGCTTCACTTCCAAGCACTTTCAATCCAAAACATGGAACAGTTGGTATTCGAATTCCTGATCACGATTTTGTTCGTTCATTGATGATTCGCTTAGATGATGTTCCGCTTGCACAGACCAGTGCTAATATTTCCAATGACCAAAATAATCCAGCATGCATTGAAGTAAGTGTGGAATGCATTCTGGACAAGCTTATTTGATTAGTTGAAATCCCTCTGGAAAAGAGATACTATGTTAAGTACACAGCGTCTATTTTGATAATGTCTTCCGCTAATGCTTCGCATATCTCTTTGTTATAATGCTAAATTAATTTCTAACCCTTACTCTTTAACATCGTCACTTAAGTATTCATTTTTTATTTCTTTATTATTTTGAAGATTTGAGGTGATTAAGGACTGCCATGTCACCATGTTTTTCAATCATCTAAACAATTTATAGGATTTCAAAGATTTGTGGCCAGAATTGGATCTGATAATAGATGATGGCACAGTGTTGCGCCCAGATGGTAAAGTAAATCACGAAGGTAGTACAGTGGTAAATCTGAGCATTCCTGGTTTTTATAGCATAATACGAGATGGATGGTATGTTTTAATAAATTGATAGTGAGGATTAGTTAGCTGGCAGAATTCACTTCATTAATTTTCTTTATTTGAGATAAAAATTATCAACAAGTTTTTAGCGCGAGAACGGCAACGGAGAAAAAGTTAAGAGATTGCGGACTGATTAGTTTATCAGATGGTGACTATGTGCAGTAAAATGTTTTCATGGACTAAAATCCTACAAAACTTTTTTGAAGTTTGTGAAGTTTTCAAATTTCTACATTACATATGTTTCCTTCATCACTACGAGAATGCTTGACAGCAATGGAATTTTTTTGAAATGCTCTATTGGAATGATTTATTAGGCTTGCTAGCATGAAATTAGTGAAACAGTAGGTCAGTTGCAGCATGATCGCCACTTCGAAGCAAATTTTCTTGTTCTTCTTTCCGATGCATGATGTAACTTTTTGACTGTGTAATCCTCCTGGGAATATGGCACCACGTATTGTCCATTCTTCTTTATTTCAAGAATCTATAAATAAGTTCAAAAAATTCCCACTCAATTTTAGTTTGAATGTTGTACATTTTGTGAATTTTAATGAGGAAGAAGTCTGAATTTAATCATACCTGTTCTACTAGTAAACCAAATGTATTTTCGATGCCATAGTTGGCTTTTGCCGATGTTTTCAGAGCATTCAGAAAACCTCCTTTTTCACGATACTCCTCTAGCATTTCATCTGTTATTTTATTGTCAAGATCAGCCTGAAGGAATGAATATTCTAATTATCATTAGAAGCAATCAAAATCTATATTTATAAGTTAATGGTGGTGCTAATATATATTATAGAGATTGCTAACTCTATAAAACCACAATACTTACTTTCCCAAAATAATAATTCACCAATAAAACAATCATAAAAATTGCTTATTGTTGTACGTATCTGTTGTTAAATAAAAATTTAAAAAGAATCAAGGTTTTTTTTCTTGCTGAGAGAAATAGCTTTAGCCAGGATGTATGATGAGCCTTAAAGATCCTTGTTACCACTACACAGCAATCATGTGATTGATTCAGTTAAAATTTTTTTTAACTGATATGTGATCTTCATTTTAAGATGAAAAGTACCTTATTAGCAACAAGTACAGAAGGTAGTGGTTTTTCACTAGCAAGAGTAATTTTACTATCCAAATCGGTTTTCCAGCGCAGCGCTCCATCGTAGGTATTTTGACGAGTACAATCGAATACGACGAGAGCGCCATGAGCATCCTTATAGTATACTCGTGTCATATTACTGAATCGATCTTGACCTAAGTAAAAACAAATTGTTACACTTGAACATTATTTAGAGAGAACATTTCTTAAGAAAACTGAAATAAAAATCAAGTATTAACCTGATATGTCCCACAGTTGCAGTCTTAGTGTTGTATCATCATTCCACAGCAAATTTCGTGTTGCAAAATCAACGCCAACCTAAAATTCCGAAATCTCATTTTCAAAATTTTTCTAACAATTTCAACGAAAAGCTTTTTTTCCAGCTGTATAAGACAAATTTCCAAATGATTATTATTGACATCGGATGAAGATTACAATTATTTTAGAAGTACAAATTCAAATTTCATATAGATAATGTGTAAAATTTTGTTTACTTTAACATTTTTTTAAAAATAAATAACCGTAGCCTTATAATGTTGTGTGAATAAATTGTGCGCATAGCGCTGCACGATAGATGATTTCCCGGTGCCAACATCGCCAATAATTAAAATTTTAAATAAAAATTGATCCCTAGGAGATATTGTATATCCGTTTGATGATGTAGACGGCTGAAAATTGGATTTTTATTTTGTTAGATGAAGTACTTTTCCTACTTTCTATTATCCCTTAACAATCATTTTAATTTATTTGTATTGCTTGTTTTAAACAAGATAGAAATGAAAAGAAATAATCTAAAAGTTTTCGTAAACTATGAAACGCTTGCTCTTACTGAAATTTAATTTTGATTTTCCTCTAAAATTACAAAATGCATTTCAATAGGAAATAATTTTGGATAAGTGAAATTTTACTCAGTTCAAGTTATTTCAGTTAAAAGACAAAAAAAGGAATAAATTGAATTCATTTCAGTTGAGAATAAATCAGCCATAATTACATGGACGGAGCTTTCTTGCTAAGATTTTTAAACTGTCATAGATTTTAATTAAAGAAATATCACATATTATTTGCTTACCTGAGATGAATTCATAAATTAAACAGGATATTTGTAGCAAATGTAATTCCGAAAGTGATTTGCTTTTTGCAAACGAAGACTGAGTAACTGTGAGTGATTGTACTTGGGCGACTGAGAGAAAAACTGATAAGGTCACCTGCGATAACGATAACGAGAAAAAGGTATGTGGCTCACCTGCTATAACTATCATTACTCTTTGATAACTGATAACGAAGTATGCCGTTGACATTTTACAGTTCATAGAAAATAAACAAGCTTGCTTCTTTATAATGGACATTATGATCGATATAGATGATAGCTCCAACATTCTGAATGAAATCGATAAGAGATAATTATTAGTAATAATCAATTTGAAAATTTCATTTATCGATTCCTTATTTGATTATTCCTTTTACATGAAAATGAAGAAAGGAATTAATTCACAGAATAGTAAAGCTTGCAATAAGAATTGTTCATAAATTAATATAAAAGATTTTAAATCATGAGCCTGAAAATGGCAAAGTTTGTAGCTTGTTTAAATGGTACTTCTCTCTTTTTTTCGATAAGAAAATGTCTAAAATTTCATCATTTCAGTAAATTGAAATAATTTTTTAGACTTTAGACCTAAAGAGTAAAGAGAGAAGAAATAAATTGAAACTGAAATTTTAAAACTAAATCATTAAAAGGTAATAATTGTCGCCTTTAAGATAATTATTGAATGAATAAGACATTTATTCAAATATAAGTTCAATTTTAAGGCGAAACTTTTTCATTTCGAATCTCAGAAAACTTCAAATTAACAAAAGATATTCAAATTATTAAAAGATAGTTATAATATGCAATTATCTTTATTGTTTCTATTTTTTCAACTTTAAGTTTTCAAAATTTCAAATGAAGGAATTCAACTTGCCATATCATTTAACTGCTCAATTCAGAGATAACAATTTTCAAGTTTCAAATTTTGCAACAGAAAATGAAGAAAGAAATGATGCATTTGATGATTTTCTTTTTATCGCAATGAAAAAAATTTCTTTATAGTAATACTTTCCTCAAATGTTTACAACTATACTGATAAATTCTTCAACAAATTACTGTATTTTGTAGTTGAAAAGATTATTAGTTGTAATTAGCTAATTAATTTTTAACTTTCAATGAAATTAATATTTACCTAAAATAAGAAATGTGAAACAATTTTTAGATAATTTTATAAATTACAGGAAAATATGCATTTTAATTAATAAATTAAAAATTAATATCTATTAGAATTATTTCACGTATAAATAATTTTTTACATTTAAATTACTTTGAATAGCTGCATGAATAACTTCATTCATTTAAGTCTATTTAAATTTAAGTATAACATTCATCTTTCAATTCCAATTTCAATGTATATAAGATTACAAGTTTGGCTTCAAAGCAGGTTTTTTAAATTAAAAAAAGTTTTTTCCACATTAAATAATTTTTATATACGATGTAATGAATTAAGTACGGATAAGTAATTTTGATGTAGCACATGTTAAGTATAATAATACTTAAATAATAACACTCAAAATAGCAATAACAATAATAATACTTACTTAATAATATTAATACTTAAATAATAAGTAATACTCAAAATTAATAAATGTTATGATAATTTATTGATTTGTTAGGATGATTATTACAACGATTATGTAATCATTGTTAATTTAATTATAGTTAACTAATTTTTTAAAAACTTTTTGAGCAATCAAAAATTTGTTTAAAAAAATGTTCGCCATCATCATTACATTGACATACATTGTATCTCTTCTATTCTATTCAAACGTTTTCTTTTCTTCATTGAAACGAGTCTTGCAATCGTTTTATTCACCAATCAAAAATTCAAAAATGCTTCTAACAACATTTCAAAATGATTGATACAACAAGCGTGAAGAACATTGAAGCTATTTCAACAATTCGTTCCAAATTATGGCAATTCATCCGGAAATATTTCCTAGAGGGTAAGATTAATTAATTAATGAAATCTTAGAAGATTAGATTAACTAATAATAGATCGGGTCATTGGTCAATTGAGTTTGCACAAATTTAATTTTATTTTATAACATAATTTTGTTAATAAATTGATCAAATTCTGAAAAGCTATATTTAAATTAATTTTCGTTACTTTCTTGTTTTGATATAATTTTAACTGTAATTTGCATAAATCATAATATAATTAGTTTCATTAAAATTAATCTTTTTTTGAAATTGATACTCTTTTTTTTTCCTAACAATAAGAAATGGAAAAGTTTTTAGAATTCTGATCGATTATTTGTTGCGTTGTATATTTGTTTTATGATAAATTATTTGTAATATTTCTATTAATTATTCTAAAATTACGGTATTTTATTTTAGGACAAAAATATACATTTGAGGAAAGTACAATTGTTGAAGAAAATCATAAAAATATCGATGATTTATTGATTAGACATCGAAAATTATTCGGTAATTTGCTATATTATAATTAACAACAAATTTCTATTATTATTATTTCACAAAAAAAGTTTTTAATTAATTAAAAAGTTTTGTTTTTGCAAACTTATCGTATAAATTTCGAAGAAGAAAAATATCGCAAAATTATACGAAGCAAAATTCATTCAACTAAATTAATTATTCATATAATTTAAGGTTTTCTTATACCATGCATTTTTTTTCAAACAATATATTGCTTATTAGCTTTTCGCTATAATTTCTATCATTATTTTGCAAAAAAATATATAATGTCAATAGTAATGATTTTTGGAGCATTAATTGGCGGTATGTTTTATGTTTTATTAAATAATAATAATTAATTACCTTTTCACTTTCATTATTAAATTTTTGAAAAATTTTATTAAAATTTTAATTTGTTATCAAAATTATTGCTCATTTCATTCGTTTCATTTTTACTATTCATTTATATTAATTCAATTATGCTAAATTAGAGAAAGAAATGTAAAGAAAATTCGAGATTGGAAAAGTTTGAAAATTTTCGATGAAATGATAATTTAATTTATATGCTTAATAAATGTGATAATATTTTTGATCAAAACAAAAGTGATTTTTTTTTATAAAAAATAATTTTAGAAGTTATTAAATTTAAATTGGATTAAAATGTTGTTAAGTTAGATGAAGGATTAAATGTTAAAAATTGTCTATAATAATGATATGATAAATGAGTTAGTTGTAGGAATGATAACAGAAGGTGGCGGTGCCGTGATTGGATTAAAATATTGTTAAGTTAAATGAAGGATTAAATGTTAAAAAATGAAATAAGTTGTAGGAATGACAACAGAAGGTGGCGGAGCTGTCGCATTTCCAGTGATGACATTAGCACTTAATATAAATCCCATTGTGGCTCGTGATTTTTCATTTATGATACAATCATGCGGTATTTTATTTTAAATAACTGAAATTGTTAAATTCAAATATATTAATAATAATAATAATAGCAAGTTTAGATCAAATCATATTGAAATTTTATCATATAAAAAAATTACTTATTTAAGCTACCAATTCTAATATTTCTTCAAAATTTTTATAGTTATTTTATTTTATAATATTTTGCAATTACGAAGTTTAGCAATTGCAAAATAAATAGTATTAAAATTTTATTAATTGATAATTTTAAGAGTCTTCAAACAAATCTTATGCATTCATTCAAAGTCTAATTAAAAATTAAAATAACTTTTATCTAATCAATTAATTCTTCGTATTATGCAAATGACCAATGGTCAGAGGAAAAAAAGTACCAATAAAATTGATAAAACCTTTTATCATTTTATCATTCATTACTGTAAGGCTTAACTGCTGCTTCATTTACTATCATTTTTAATGGAATATTGGTTGAATGGCATTCAATATTATTTTCAACAATTGGTGCTATTTTTGGAGTTATCTTTGGACTTGAGGTCATCTCTTCTATTCTTTTCAATATTCATCTTTATTAGCGCGTTATTTGGCGTTGAATTATTCCATGTAAGAAAAATAAAAACGTGATGAAACATGAAGCAGTTCATGTATGCCATAATTCATTTATTAGGTTATAGGCAAAATTGATGAAATTCGAGAGAGATACTCAAATATGGGAATTAGTTAACCAAGCCATATATTCATTATATTGACAAAAGAGCTTATAAAAATTCTATCCTTTATATTTTGCAGTGATAAAGTTTGAGAGAAACATTTTGCATATTATCTATCTGTCATTAATTATTGAAAAGTTTTGAGATTGTTGATCCATTGATGGCACCAGCAGAAAAGAAAATGACATTTGTTTCGGTGTTTTTTTCATTTGCAATTGCATTATTTATTTTAAATTCTGAAAAAAAGCGAAAAACATTTAATAAAATTTATCAATTTACATTATCAAAAGCATTTATCCTAATTATCAATGGATTTGTTGGAGGTATGAAAATTTTTCATTTAAATGAATTCATTTTAAAATTGTTTCTTACCTTAATGAATCAAACATTATCAGATTATCTTATCAATTAAACATTGGCGTTTTACACGATTTAATGCATGTAATTCCTTTATAGTTTTGTTGGAGACTTTAAAAGCCAAACCATTTTCCTATATTGCGCAATTGTCGTATATGATAACAAAATGAAATGTGCAAATGAAGATTTTAGTGAGGAAAGGCAAAGAAATTTGACTGTTAATTTTCATGATGGAAAAATAAAAGTAAATTGAAATCTGAGTGAAACTAAATTGATTATAACAATGTAGCAATGCTATTATTTAAAGGTATTTTCACCGGTATCGCTGGCTCTGGCATTGATGTTTATTCCTTTTCAATACTTACATTATTTTTTCGAATAAGCGAAAAAGTTGCAACACCAACATCGGTGGTACTAATGGCAATAAATAGTATGGTTGGCTTTTTCTGGCGACAATTTATGCAAAATGAAATTCAACAGGTGATAATTTTAATAGATGATAATTTTTGAATACACTTTCAACAAAATGTGATAATTTATGAATGAAACTGAAATAAACATATCAATTAGCACGATCTATTTCTTTTGATATAATTAATTAATTCTTTCCATACTTTCATTAATCAAATCTCTCATATTTTATTCTAATCCAAATTGAAACGAAACTATTTTGCTATTTAATTCTGATAATGATGATACAGCCAATGATACCGATGATAATGAGCAATTAAACAACAATTGTATCATCCTGTAAATATATATATATCGTATAATAAAAATTCATCAAAAAATGATGAGAATGTTTCAGGAATCGTGGGAATATTTGTCGGTATGCTTACCTGTTGTTGTAATTTTTGCACCAATTGGTAGTTTTCTTGCATCATATCTTCATCGACTTACACAAGCATCATTTATTTACATATTAGAAACAATTGCTTTGGTGAGAATATAATTTCATAAATTTTATTAGTTAATAAATTTTCTTTCTTTTTTTGTTTCTGTAAAAATTTTAATTTTGATTGATGTAATTTTTGCAATTTTATAATTTTGTAATTTTTCAAATAATTTCAGATCAGTGCTTTGATAATAATTAAGCCTAATTGGACATTACTCATTTTTACATTTTGTCTTATCAGTGGTTCATTGATATTTTATATGATAATGGCTCGATGCGGGCAAAAATTAATGTTACAAAAGATGAAAGCTTCCGAAATGAAAATGAAGACAAATGATAGCGCTATTGTTATTGATCATTGATGATAATAATTATTATCTGCAATTGCTTGTCAATAATTAAATTTCTCCCTGATTTACTCCAACATACAGTAAAATTATTTAAATTAAAAGAACTGCTTAATACCAGCATTTTTATGCTTTGTTGCTTGCAACCAAGTGATCAACTAAATAATATCGTATGTTGGGAATTACAATGTTGAGATAAAAGAAAATGATTAATCGATAAAATGGTAATTAAAATATTTTGTATTCTGATAAGATGTGGCCTATACTCTCTACATATTTATCTCGTTTCCAAAACAAGAAGAGTAGGCAAACTACTATTCTGACTTCTTTATCCCTGAAAATACTTTTGATTATAGTGAGCATTTATTATTGGAAAATAATATGCGGTGCTATGATTAAGCCAACCGGTGATGCCGGAAACAAACAAGCATTTTGATATATCCGGAATAAAACTGACAAAGTACTAATTTTACTGAAAAATTATTTCCTAACCCTAGTCTTATGATTGCCATATTTACTACTAATTAAAGTTTTTCGATTTTTGCAACACCTAAGAATAGTCTAATAATTTAATTCATTTCAATTGGAAGAAAAATTTTCAAAGGTATAAATAATTGAGCGTATTATTATTGATATGCTAACTAATCTAACGATGGACTATCACCATGGAAATATGCCTAACATGTTGTTTGGATGAATGGATTCCAATATTTCTGATTTGAAGCAGGCTATTATTGATAAATTACGCTTGAATGGTACACTTGATCGAATACAGGTATCGCTATTTTTACCTTTTAAAGATGACAACTTATTAGTTTATTTTGAGTTTTATTTTGGCAAACAATCATCAAATCATTACGTTAATTGAAAGTTCAAGTTTAATTAAACCAGATAAACTGAAAATTTAGGCTTTAATCAGATTGAATGGATTAAAAGTTTAAGCATAGTAAAATTAGACATGTATTATTATTTCTACTAAAAGTACCAGCCAGGTAAATAAGAAGTCATCATTACTTTTTCTAACACTATAAATTCATTGATATGGTAAAGTGATTCTTTCGATGAAGTTAAAAACTTTACTTCAAAGTTTGGTAAATTTCATCAAATTTCATTCATTCCCACTGATAAGCTTCTCGAATAGGCTTTAGAAAATTCGATGAAATGCAAGATTAAATCAAAATTTTTAAATTACTTATTTTATAAAACGATACAATTTAAAACAGTGAAGTTACCTACCCATTTAAAAAATGATTTCAAACTTCAAAAAAAGGAATTCCAGAAGTTAGTTGTAATAAGAAGGAAAAAAATTTATATTAAAATACAGGCAGAATTACGTTGCGCTGTATTTCTTGCAATTGAAAGTAATGATGAAAATGAATCGATAGTGGACAAAAGTAAATTAAACCAAACACCTGGCTATTCAATCATTTATCATTTCCTCAAACAAAACCGATTCCTAGCAACAGCGGCAGTATTTGAGAAAGAAATACATCAGGTAACAAAATTATTATTACTCATAAAATTACGGAAAATATTTTGCAACTTAATTGTCTTATATTTTTTCTTTCTTCTCTTCTTTTTTCTTGAAGATTATTATTAGATTTAATCAAACTTTTGAATATTTTCATTTCAATTTTAGAAAATTATCTCTTTGGAAGAATTGAAAAAAGACAATGCTGCAAAATTCTGTTTTCAATTTTTTGGCGATAGTATCAATTTATCGAATTTCATCGTAACCGAAGCTGAACAAACAAAAAACGAATCACATTCTACTAGAATTGGAATTAATGAAATGAATAATATCGACTCGAATTTTATCTCATCTTCTGCAGTAAATAGTAACGGAAAAAGTGATGCAGAAATTATCGAAAAGCAACAAATAAACAATTTTGAATCGAATAGAGCTTTAAAAGATCTTACTTTGGAGAGTGGATTATCGAATGATCAAAACAGAGGAATCTTCTTCAGCAGGTTAAATCATCTGTTATTAGAGGAAAGCTTATCTCGTTTGGCACTTCGTTTAGCATCTCAATTATCTTTATATACGTAAATCATCTTCCCATTCTATCACCTCTCCAAACTTGGCAACGCGTCAAATAACAAATAAAAGGATATAAATGAAATATCCTTCGAAGAGAATACATGAATGATTCTATTTAGTACTACCTACCTTAATGGTAAACAGCAAATAATCTTGCAAAGTTCGAAGTTTTAAGAACTACACAGAGTTTCCACAGGTTTTCAAAGAATTCTGAAAATTCGAGGAAGACTCGAGGAGGTCTGAAAATTAACCCATTCTAGTTGTAGCTAACTAACCTCAACAGAATTAACAATCGATCGTTTTTTTCTGATTACTCAGAGTTTCTCATCCTTTTTCAACTTCTCTCCTTATCAGCGTTTGTAAGATGTCTAAGCTTGATTCTCATCAAACATCATTTTATTACAGTTTTTCGTTAACATTATTAAATGGCAAACATTTTAAAATGTTTTTTAATTTTTGCTTTATTTTTTAAACTTCAAGCACTTCATGAGAAAAAAAATTTTTTTGCTATTAAAGAAGCAGAAACGAAAGAAGAAATAAAAAGGAAATACAAAATGACCGACCATTTGAAACAAGCAATGATGATAAAATAGAAAAATACAATAAAGGAAGTAGTTCAAGTTCGAGATCATCATCAATTATTGAACAACATCAAGAGCAACAAACTCCAAAGACATCACCGCCGAGTACGATGTCCAAATATCAGCAACAATCGACCAAATATTTCACATCTCCATCGTCAACCTATCCCAGAAAACTACCACCAATTAAAGCAGTATTGAATGAATCAGCATCATCAACAAAATTACCTTCCATACCGTCATTAAACAATCCAGCGAATCGAGCTGGAACAGGAACAGTACCATTTTCACGCCTGCTAGATACGATACTAAATTCACCATCATCTAATAAAAGTGGAACAGGTAAAATTTTCCTAATTTAAATTGACACTTTGTTCTTATTGTTTCATCATAGCATCTTATTCTTTGAGATAACTTTTAAAATCTTTGAGAGACAATTGCTCAAATGTGCTTAAAATATGCATTACAGATAAAGATATTGTGGAGGAGCTTATTGCCGACGATCTATTGCAATCTGACCATAGCGATACTACTGTTTCATTTTAAAAAAAAAAAACAAATTAATTCCATACAAAATGCGTATAAATTTTTTACTTCTTTTAGTTGCTTAGTTCAAAAATATAGAAAAATGTAATCTTTCTGGGGACAGATCATGACAATAAAAATATTCTTTGATACCAATAAGAAAAACCAATAAGAAACTTACAAAAATGGCCTTTATTTCCTTGTTTAGATATTTAGAATCATAAGAATTCGATTTCAGACAAACTAAACACAGTCAAGACAGGTAATCCATCTAAAGCTTACAAATATATGACAATTTGCAACTTCAAAATTTTAATAGAGCAATTTTTGTGAAACATAAATAACGTGGGAAGTGACTACACTGAGACCGTTAATCTGCAAAAGAACACATTGAAGTTAATCAGTCACTACTATTCAATATATTGCCATTATGACGATATGCTAACACGTTTAGATAACAGTTAAACATGTATGTCAGACACCTCTCAGATTCACGATAATATCAAAAACAAAATTGTAAAATTAAAATTCAAGTTAATCAACTCAATAACTAAGCTGTCAATGGTCCAACAGGAAACACAGGTATAAGAACTAAAAACAAACTAATTCGAAAAAAAACTTGATCCAAGAAAGACATGAAATTGGGGAATATATATAAGAGAGAGGAACAAAAAGATAGATAAACAATATCCAAGTGTATTTTGTTTTTAAAAAATTTTTCGGAATTATCTAATTACAATAAATTAAAACCTACAAGATCCGAGATCTTCGAAAATTAGCCTTTAAAAAGATGTTCTTTTAGATGACTTGCTGATAATCAACAGGATAAATAATTCAACCTGCGCTAAAAAAGCATCACATGGATCGAGAAGTCCACGCTGCAACGCTTTCGGTATCGTTGTTCGGTGGTCAAATATCTGAAAAGAATCAAAATTTTAATATATTAATGGGTTTCTAGTAAATAAATTTGTGAATTTCCTGTGGGTCACTGATTTCGCTATATTTTAATCCTCCCAGTTAAAGCAAGCTTTGATATGTTTCTTTGAAACGTGCTATAAGTTTTCTCAAGAAATTCGTCTCCATTTGCACACTATAGCATAGTCAACTTCACAGCATTCTGCCGCCACTTCGTGCTCGTTCATTTAACTATGCATATATATCAATTGTCTCCATACTCGTCAATTAATTAAAGCCAATAATTACTCCAGAAAAATCTAGTTGCTGAAGGAAAGAATGTGCTTGCTAAGTGAAGGCCTATCTTCGTAATTCTTCAACTCTCACATGAATTAAAAAATTGTATTAAAAAGTAAAACTCAGAGGTCAGAAATCACCGCTCCTATTTCGTGGTTTTGATGGGCAAATTTTGCTGTGATCATTAACTGCAGTATTTCTTAATTTGACAAAAAAATTTAATCAACAACATTAAAAACATGAACAACAAATACCTGGAGTTTACGCAAAATCTCATCGATAACAGGAGGATTCCATTTAAAACGATCAATGAAACAAATTTTCGGGTCTACTACCCATCGTTCGCAGATAAATCGACGGAAATCACGGTTTACATCAACAGCTTTTTCTTCCTCTGTCTTAAAATTGTTGAGTTTTTTTATGATAATAAAATAGCTGTAGCAGTGAGACGTTACCACAAAGAAAAATACGGTGAAGTTAGGAATATCTAAACTTGTGTAATTATAGGCTGAACCATGAACGAAAAAAATACCTTTGTTTTCATGTATGTATTGATCAGCTCAGGCAAAAAACTGACTTGTGCGCTGAAGTCCGTCTGTACATTCACTGAATCATGAAATTCGCAAATGAAAGAACTGTGCACCTGCAAAAAATGCAAAAACTTGTGTCAAGAATTAATTTGTAATATCTAAAATCATATATATATAACGAGAAACCTCAGGTACTGAATGTTCTTCGTCAGCTTCTATCCCTTGTTTCTGCAACGTCGATAAAACAGCATCCAATGCAGGGAATCTGGAAATCTCCACAAAATAAGATCTTTCCTATTGTTTTATGAAGGAAAAGAATATTCCATAAGAAAAAAAAATATGGGTATTATAATTACACAAAATCCATGTAACTACAGATATAAGGTACAAATGACTTACTGGAATAACTGAAGTACAGAATGATGCACAGCTGGCTGATCCAAATTAGAAGGGATATATTTCAACCGCATGAGTACATCACCAATAACATGATGAAGACATGCTAGTACTGAGCTCATTTGCCGTACCATACTTCCCCTACTCTGCTGCAATGAAATTTACAAACATTATTAATAACTATCCTACCGATACGGTGCAATAAAACAAATTGAAGTTGCATCTGTAACAAACCAAAATCAAATTCACTACTTAAGCAATAAAATTTAGAAGTACAGCAGTAGCACGTTCATTTCATATGAAATAAATTTACTTATAATATTTCAACATCAAACTTATCGTTCAAGCCTTATCATAACATTGGTAAGATATCATCAGCGATAATTATCCCGCCAACATTAAGACTGAAGTTCCACATTAAGATGTCGTAAAAGAAATAAATATATTGAGCATATCTATTTCGCAGTTAAATATTAACACGATGGAATATCGGCAATAAATTTACCACTTGCTGAACAGGAAATGCAGAAAATGCTAGCTATTGAGAAAGAAATAACTACTGCTGAAAACAAGACATCAAAAAGCATACACTTAAGATATAATGCATATTCGGGATTGCACTATTTTTAGGAGAGAGCAATTACCAATCTAACCTGGACACGACATACAACAGCCATACATTCGGTATCGCCATGTTGATATGCCATGTCACCGAGCCTAATGTTAAGCCGTTGAGCAACTGACACACCGACATCTCGATTATCACTGACAAAGATGTATCGTGCTTCTGGTTCAAACATGACCGTTGGTTGTCGCATATGGAACAATGCCCAGCTATAAAGTTTAATGAATTGTAGCATTATAGACAAAAATATAAAAGAAAGAAGAAAATATATGGACAGAATTTGGAAGTCAACAAAATCACTAATTTGGAATATTCAATCAAATAATCAAATTTCTCTTTATTTTCAAGTTTTTAAATTTTTTGATTGTTGTACATGTTGACAATGAGATTTACCTATTGGCGTTCATTTCCCCATGCATGCAAGCCAAAGATAAACTTTGTCCAGATAATTCCAATACGCCACCCACAATGGTCACCCCATCAGAACTCTTCGGCATTGGTAAAAGTTTTTGTCGAGATTGAATATATGTTAGCATGTCAAGCACCGGTTGCCAATGATGATATTTGGTGAAATTTATATAATTCTTGTCAACTTTCGAAGAAGCTTTATCCACTATTACAGAATTTCTAATGCCCCATACCATTCGACTGTTCGTTAATTGCTCCTAAAAGTGCTTCAGTATTTTTCAGCTTTTTAGAAGGATATATGATAATAAGTGGATAACTTAAACATAAGAAAAAAAGAAAATTTTTGAACCTGGAAGAACGACTGCAATTTTTGAGCAATCTTTATGAGGTCATCCACCGTCACTTTTGTTATAATCAGTTGTAAATCCGACCAGGAACAGTTAATGTTGACAGTTACAGATGCTTTCACAGCCTTAAACATTTTTCCATGTGATGTTATCTTTCTAAATAGTATTTTATACTCCAACCATTACTTTTGACGACATTTTTTTCTAAATAGTACTTCAATCATTGTTCAAAATTTGAACAGAAATCTATCGAGAATTTATAAATACTAAATGTCGTTAAAAGAAAAGCTTAACAAACTTCGCCTGCATCGTCAAAAAGTGATATCCACTCATCCAAAAACGTGACTGATGGTTTCTCGCATTTTGCAATGAATATTGGTCGACTCATCCATTCAATTCGACTTTGAATTTCCATTAACTCCAACTTTGCACAATTTCGAGGCGGTTTCTGTAAAACCAATTGTGTCATAGCTAATCTCAGCCATAGCTAATTATAAGTAAACTGATATTTATGCAACAGCACAACATAGATTGATATTTTTTTCACATAAATAAACGAAAAAAGACAACAATTAGGATGTATCTGTGTGAACACACAATTAAAAGGGAAATTCTATAGAGACATACCAAAGCAGTTGTTTGATTTTTGCACGCAATGCGTAGAGATGTGATAGCAATTTCACCTGATATTACACCCCCATAAGCTGATAATACAGCTGATTCCAAACCGAAATTGATGGAAATTGCTCGATCTTGTTTTGAATTAAGCTAAAAACAGTAAATTTTTGAAAATGAAATTTAAAAAATTTATTTGGTGATCAGATATACATATATAAATTTCCACTGATTAATCAGTGGTTAAGCATGAAAAACTATTATTCGCCTAGCATCAAATCTATCTCCCCTTGAAAAATTTAAAGCGATGCAATATTTAGCGACGTCATCGATATAAGATGATTAATCTTAACAATAAGGTAATATTTTAAATCAAAATATTGCCTGACAATAGCCACGCAAAACACCTTCGCGTAAAATCAACTTCGTATTGCCCATGGTATTAGCCATTTGCGCACTGATATTGAGCTCCTTCCATTCTACACCGCATATTATAGCGGCACTCCACTCCTTTTTCTTCGAGATCTCTTGCGCTGATGGAAATCTAAAACCACTATGGAGTATGATAAAATGTAAACTTTCATAAATATTGAAAAAAAAAGGATTAAAAAAATAGACAAAGGATAATAACGCCTTTAAAGCATTGTATTTTAAATCTTAGTTCATAAAATTTTGATTTAGGAAAGTGATTTAACCTTTAGATATGACCAGGAAAAAAATCAGTCTAATTTAAATTAATAAAGAACTTAGTTTCAAGCAACAAAAGAAACTAACTTATTAGAAAGTGGTCTCGATGATGCGTGACTCATTGCAGGCGAAGTCTCAACATTATAAGTTGGAGTTTTCACAGAATGACCTCCGAAGAACAACCTCCGTACAATAGTATGCCGATACCATGGTTTGGGGAAGGAAATCAATTCCGCAAGGCGACGCATGTCATAATTGAAATTTGCTGATCCAACATTTGCAGTTAATACGAACTGTAAGAATGAATAATTTTGACCCTTTTCCATTCTTTTCATATCAATTTCCCATCCTCATAAAACATCTTTTTGATAATAACAGTCACCTGAACTTTGTTGTCCGATTCCAGACGACTGTTCTTACTTCTCGAAGCTAGTATCGATAAATGATCAAGTGTTAGTAGAAGAGCATCTTGAGCTGTGGAACGCTAAAATTTCACTGAAGGTCAATATATTTAAACTTTGCGTTAATACATGAAATTGAAAATTGATGACAATATAAATTTTACCCAGAAATCTAAGTCACATTGAACTTAGAGTGATAAATGAATACTTACGAACATGAAATCATTTACTGAAATATAAAAGCATCTATTGGACACAATGCTGCCTGCCTTTATGACAGGATTTCAATGAAGTCTTAGAACTCTCTCCCAGTTTATATAGCATCAGCATTCTAAAAACATAAAACCTAACTAGAAAGCAGAATAAAGAAGATAGTATGGCGTCCAGCATCGTAAATCTTTCTTGTTCCATTTACGAGCAGCAATGTCTTTTATGCGCAATTAGCATGAAACGCAAACATGGTATGTAAAGACAAAAATTTACCTGATGTGGACTATAGATATTCAATGAGAAAGCACTTAATGTTGCAGCAACATGTATTCCACCTCCAGCTGTATCACTACTACCAACACTACCAGTTCCTTCATAGTGTGGCCTTGTTGATGCCATTAGTGTAAGTGATGGAAGCTTCAGCAAGCAATCAGCTGCAGCTGTACGCTTAAATAAATTAAACAAAGAGCTTCCTTCAAAACAAATTATTTGAATATTTTATATTAGCTAATTTGTTGATCACACTTAACCACTTCATTAACATATATAAATCATCTGGCTATTGTTTTATTTCATTCACAATTCAACTAAATTGCTAAACCAGTACGGCAAATAAGCCTTAGTCGCCGACAAAATGAATTTTACAAATCAGTCGTTCAAAACAATTAATTGTTATAAGGAGCGTTTGTTGGAAGTGCTACTACATTGTTACTCAAGATCTTCCCAGTAAAATGACAAAAAAAGAAAAAAACGCTGCAAAGAACAGGTAATTACCTGCTGTTGACCTTCAAATCGAATTGCAGAAGACTGTACTGTCAAATGGAATAAAACATCCAGAGGAATTACAGATGTATCCATTTCAACAATCGATACATCAGAATCACTTATGTCATTCAGATCCATTTTTGAAAGCTAAATTTTCGAAATCGTGAGCAGTTCAAAGTTTAATTAATAAATTTAAGAGATCTGAAACCTTGAAAATGATTAATAAATTTTGATTAAGAGAGAAAATGATTAACATATAAAAAATAAAAAAGGACGGAAATTTCAAAACTTGACAGCTGTGGATAACTTACATCTAACAATGAATTTACATTATTTTCAGGAATTGTTGCAAATACTTGCTCAAGGAAATCAGCGAGATGTGGCGTTATTAGTGACTCTTGTGGCATACTTGCCAACTCTACTGCAAGATAAAAAGTTGGCCGACGCCACTGACTGAAAAGTTTCAAATTGAATAGCATAGATCTTACAGTCAGGTTTTACACTTATATTATTCAATAAATTCTAATTTCTCATCAGTTTTTCAGTTTCAGGACTCGTAATACATGCTTTTCCCTGAAGTTGACAGTAGAATTAACCTAGACCGTCCGTACTTATGCGGAAACGTAGCTTGGACATGACGTGGCATTTGTTTATGCATCTGACCTGTATCAAGCGATGTATAATAAGCTTTGACATCAACACTGAAAAGAAGATAAAAGACAAATTAATGACAAAAAAAATCACATTTATCTAATGATCAATGATTTCAAATTTAATACTACTAAACAAAAGATAATTTTAAATAATTATTTTATATTGCTCAATACCACATATTGTTTATGTAACAAATTCGATCTTCTCAATAAGTCCCATTAAAACCGATAGAAATGGAATTATGCAATTTCATTAGGCTGACATCAACGAGTAGTCCTGAAGCAAAATGACCGGTATGTACATAAACAAATCTGAATAAAGACTTCTCCGAACAGAATTAAATAAACCTTGGAATTGCAAATTTTGTGACCGCTACAGATTCATTTGTTTGTGCCATTTTTGACTTCAGATCTCGTGCAGACGGACGTTTCGATGGAGGACCTGTGCTTTCTTCTTTACCCAACGCTCGCAGAGTACATAAACCAGATTCGATACCTACCTGAAATTATCTTCAAAAATGCGGTGCAACTTGAATCATATCCTTCTGAAAAAGCTCTCTTTTTCTCCCCGAAAATATTTTAAACTTCACTTTCAGGACTTGAAACTCTCATAAATAATGGGGAGATTCGAAATATATGAAATATTACCTGTACATCGATATTCATGTCCACCGTACTTGCCATAATATTACTCTCCGATGAACGTCCGCTTAACGATCCCCTCTCCGAATTTTGAAGTAATCCACCGAGTTGTAAACTTAACGACATATTTTTCTTTGCCGTAGCATCTCCTGATGGATCGTCTGACTGTTCAGACGATAATATATTTACCACCTGCTTTGCTTCATGAGTTTCGACAGGCTACAAATTATTTTTCGAATAGTCCGAAAAAAGAACAAAATTTACAGATTGAGGGTATGAAACGTTTAAAAAGCAAAAAATTTATTTTGGTAATAATCTAGAAATAATATAAGCATAAGATGTAGTTTTGCAATGAAAACCTTCCCATACATAACGCAGAACTCAAAAACAACCTTCTTTGGCTCCATTAACTTCTTTCGTTGACGGACAGCATTACGTTTCAACTTTCCAATTATGGATTTTCGAAACTGCTTAAACCGAGCTGACTCCAATCTACGCAACGTCCGTCTTTCCTTTTCGATGGCCGGTTCCGATGCTCCACACTGCATCAAATCGGTAACCAAAACCGACTGTTCGTGCATCTATAAATTTCGATTTTCTGATAACCTAAATTCGAAAACTTAAAGACAAAAAAACAGCGAAAAACCGGATCTCGATATAAAAAATGACAACAGTAGCAAAAAGTAATTCCTAATAGCACTATTTTGCCCTCTTTGATCCGTCCTCTTTCCAAACTGATGCGATATTTGTGCTTATTTCAATGCTACTAGCTTTGAAAGATAATGGTCTCAGGACTTACTTTTCGCTCCAGCCACTGAATTCGTTCTTCGGGTTGCACAAGACTTCCAAGCTCACCAGTAGCATCGATCTCAGCATCTTGTTCATTCTCATCATCATAGACGTCTGATGATTCATTTGCCAATTCATCCCAATCTTCTTCACTGATGTCGGACGTAAGCGATGAGAAAGTACTAATTAGAAGTGATGCATGCTTGCCAATGCGCTAAAACATTATTTAATTATAAATATTCTATATACTTATTCTATTTGTCCAAAAACTTATCTATAATTTCTTTATTCATTTTCAAGACTGGATTTCTCATGTATATTAGAACTGATTAGATTTAAATTCAGAGAGAAACCAAATGTATCGTTTTTTTTTTTAAATTAGCTAGAAAACCTATTTTGGAAAAATAATCAAAAACAATATACAGCTTACTTGATCAAGATCTATGACCATTCCACACATTTGCCATTTTATTGACAAAGTCCACTTGGCATTCTCGGACAAGTCAGAAGCAGCCGTTGCACGTGAGACAAGCTGATAAGTACCTTGTGGAAAATAGAAATAATTTGAGCGTGAAGGATCGCCAGGTTCCTCCTCGATCCAAGTATCATTCAGAGCCTGTAAAATCCGATTTCTTTGTTTCGCGCTGCGGTATAATTCATCTATAATAAATATTACCTGGTACGATCCTTCGACATTCAGTATATTTAATACCATACCAATGAAAATGAAATGCGCTCAGGGCAAAATAAGTTCACTACTCTTGAAATTAAAAAATCTTATGGCAAAATTTTTAAATTTTAAGCGTAATGAACTTCCCTTGAAATTTTAAAAATCATACTGAAATTCTTAAGAAGGCACGCGTGACTGACTAAATCTAAATTCAAACAAATTAAACATTCATTAAACACCGGCATTTGGTAATAACCTGATCATCGAAATTGTCAATAAATTTGACTTTAAATTTATGAAACGTTGCTTGACACGCTAATTCCTTCTTCACACAAACGCTGATATCTGTGCTTTGCAACGAAATAAGCAGCGCGGAGAGATTCGCACTCATATCTGCACTGTATAATGGCATACAAACGTAGATACCATTGGTCACTTTCAATGACAAACTTACATTCACCCCTGTTTCTGCATTCTGCAACATGTAGAAGAATTTCCACTCAAATTTTCGCATAATTCAATCCAAATTATTTGAACTAGGTCAGTGAACTTAAAGTTTAATGTAATTCGACTTGGCAAATAAAAATTTTGTGTATGAAACTGACATTTACTATACAATGAGCTTTTAAATACTATAAAAATTATTCTATTTGTCAACTCCATATATATATGAAAATCTCTGGATGATCTATTTCACTATTAAAATCGAATATCAATGTAGTTGAGGGCAGGTGTTAAAAATTATATCATATTTCAATTTATGATGACTTACATAACAAATGAAAATTTAGTCCCATCTAGTGGTACGGATGAGATCAAATAAAAATAAAAATAAAAATAATGTAACAGATATCATAATCGCAAAACAAGAACCCACTATAAATGCGTTACTATCTTGATTATAACCCGAATAATAATTCCGAATATATCAATAACCGAAACAAATTGTTTGTTTAATGGTTTCATGTTAAATTTTGAAATTTACTCGTTTTTCCATAAAATTAAAACCGATTAACTAGAGGTGTTGATACGTGAGCTGACATAAGAGACAATCGTTGCGCCGATTTTAACATTTTTTTTCGTTCTTCATGCCAAAAGTCGTAAGTATTTTTATAATTTAGCCACAACAAGATTGCCTAAAATAAGAGGTGAAATAGTGACGGTGAAGTAGCAAGGCACAAAAAGAAAAATTTTTTGCACGGATCAGTCAAGCATAAATGAAAAATTCGTTAACAAAGAAAGGTGATGATTATTTGACAAAGAACTTACTTTATCGATTGCCGACGATTTAATTAGAAGAATTAGACGATTTACCGTAACAACGTAACTATATGCAGATGGCACGCTGCTGCTGCTATTTTGCAAGGTTATCTAAATTTTAGTAAATCTATCACTCCATTTTAATTGTAATTTCATCAACACTTCACTTCACAAAAACGTGTTTATATACCCTTTATTGATTTGAAATGCACAATAATGTCTTTTTTGATCTACCTGCATTTTAAGCAATTCTTTCAAAAAAAAGTGCAAAAATCACCTAATTTTAGTTGACCGATAAACTACAGATCTTTGCAATTTGCTGGAAATTCATAAGAAAAATCTTGCCAAGCTTGAACATATTCAGCCGCTGTTATTCTAGCATCACATTGAGGTGTTCAATCTTATTTTGTGGGAGCAAAATTTTATGCTTTAAATTTGAAATATGATGTAAAAATAAAATTTCACCTGTGTCATAAATGTCGCAAATTCCTGGAGCTCAGTTTCAATTTCTTCAAACATAGCAGTTTTAACCAAAAGACCAAGTTTAGCACTCACACCAATTACAGCTTTCCCGTACAACCTTTTCTGAATATTTATTTATGGTGAAGAAAGGATCTGAGTAAATTTATGGTTCCACACTAACAATTGGAAAAAATTTGCAAGAAAATAATTTCTCTTTGTTACTGTTAAACTATTTGTTGAGCTCTCTAATTAAAAGGTTTGAAGTTCTAAAACGATATTCGAAATTTACCGTTTCTGATTTCACTCCTTTTTGTGTCCAACGATTCGTTAAGGTAGCTGTGATATTATCGAACGTTAATCGGACTGCAATTGAAGTTGGTGTACTGGCAGTGAGTTGAAGCCACGGGGATGCTTCTCCACGCAGCTAAAATTATATAAGCATAAGTTCTTCTCTCCAATTATTCACATCACTTCAAAAGCAAAAAGTAAAAGTGTCGCTATATTCTAAATTTGGACTATTTGTTCCCCGATAAATCTAAACAGATTAAATCATCATGGCCTGTGAGAGCAATGTGAAAGCAAGGAGAGGTATATGTTCCAGCGAACTCATGAAGCATAAAACTGACTGGAACCAAATAATCTTGAAGCAGGTTAAATGAAACGTCCAGAAATCTAAGAATTACTATAAAATGAAAGAAGTTCAGCACTTTTTTCAGGTTCAGTTTCTATTTAGATTATCAGAAGTCTCCAAAAAGATAAAGTTATAAGTAATTTTTCTTATTTCCATAAGTTAATGATTTGTGATTGCCAACATAAAGTTTGTTTTAATTCGCAAATACATTATATAGTTAAACAACAAATAATAGTAAAGACGACAAAAACATTGATCGAAACTTGCTGTAATAGTGAATAGGAATGAATCCTGCGAAGGAAGTTGTTCGGATGGTGCTGGTGGAGGAACTGTTCGATCATCAATAATTCTGTCGATCAGCGATATCAGTTCAGTACGGAAACATTGTTCAGCAAAAAGAATTTGATTAAGCAAATCTGTGGTGAATACATGTTCTAATTTGCCTGAAATTTGGAAAAAACAAAACTGAATTAGCAGCAAAAACATTTACACTAGTCCCTAAAAGTAAAACAAAATAAATGACCGCTTTAATCGGTTGCAATATTGTTGCCTACAAACATTACAATGATGTATTTTAATTAAATCGCAGTAATAAGTGTTACCGATTGTCAAGACTACATCGATATATCCTCCCTCCCTGAACAGCAAATTTTCGTCCCCCATTTCATCCATACATTCAACTTTCTCCGGCATACGGTATGCACCATCAGCAGAAATGTGAGGAAGCACTAGCGTAAAAGTATCCGAATTCAACGAAGACGTTCGTTTTTCATCACTGGGTGCAATGACAATGAAATGGACAACGTGGCTTTTAATTCGGCCAGTGAATTTTGATGCTGATCCTCTACAATTCCATAAGATCAAAGAAAATTTTGGTCGCTGTTTTAAACTGAAATTTAAGATTTCCAAAATTTACATAATATTCATTAAAGAAAACAAACGTATTTCCACAACTCTGAGCTTGATCAAGTCGATACTTGACTTTCAATGAAGGTAATAATTGAGCAGATAATTCAATGCTGCTTATTAGAAGTTCAAAATTCACAACCACTACACCCTGTCGCTGTTGCAAATGAGCTGAATATTCACCAACGGGCTGAAATGATTTTTAAATCATTGTCAATTTCAGAAAACACAAAAAATAGACTACGGTATCTCTAATCACATTTAGCATATTTTAACCGTTCGATTTATGCACAGATAATGAGCGGTAGTGAACAAATGTGACATACGAGAAGTTATATGATATGTAATGGTACCGTTGGGGAGTTGTATTCCAGACGAGTTATCTGTTCATTCAATTGAGAAACGTTCCTGAGAACCACTTCATGAAGATTCTGAGCATGAATAGGCGTATCACCTTCAACATCACCAATCAATACTTTGATACGACTTCTCACTAACCCTTTGATATGTTTCTCCCTGCAACTTATATGTTCAACCATTTCTTGAAATTTTTAAAAACGAATCAAAAAAATACAAGCAACCTTTCGAATTTTAACGAGCTCGTCTTCACCAAAAAGCTAACTATATGTTTGGCATCATGACCCATTACAAACTCGGACAAAATCAGATTAGCACGCTGAATGGATGCATTCAATTCATCCAATATCTTATTGTCTGTTATTTTATCCCGTCGATTCATATGTTCAAGCTGAAATGTGTCAAATCTTTCAATGATTCTAAAATTTTGCTTAAAACTGAAAATGAATGCTATTTTATCAATAATTTTCAATTACATAATCTTTTTATTCTAAAACCAACCCGTATTCTTTTCAGTGTCGCTGAAATATATAAGTGAGTAAGTGTCATTTCAAGAACAGCAACTTTAATATCCATATTGCCATTCACCTTCATTTCTAAGATCTCATCACTGAACTGCATTGCGCTAATTCGTGAACTGAAATTCCATACAAAAAGATAAAATTAGATTTTAAATCATTGTAAGTAATAAACTATTCAAATAAATTCTAACATCGTAAGATAAAGCAATTACCCCAAATAATCTCGCAGTTTATCGATTACATTATGTAACCAGTATGTTGATTCAGAAGCTGCAAGATTTGAAGGAGATTTTGAAATGCATATCGTTTCCTTTGGTGATTTATATGTTCTGGCCATTTTCAAATGTGTGAAAGCTGAAGCACAGGAACGAGTCACACGTGAAAGGTCGTTGATAAGACAGACAGCCACAAAGGGAAATACAATACGAATATTTTGCACAGATGAATTATAGGACAAAAATACGGAAATCCTGGAAATTGGAATTTTATTTTATTTCTCGGTAAGTGGGCCTGAATTTATCCGAAAACAAGTGAAAAATTATTACAAAAATAATACGCCATAAATTCTCTTCGTTCGAGAAAAGTCTCAACGATGAAATATTTTAAAATAATCAAATAGCATACTAAAGATTGAAATTAAGCGATTTATTTTCTAACCTATATATGCAGATTCGCCTCGTAAACAAAAATTTCACTTCTGCTTCATAAAAGAAATTCATAACCTTGTGGGCTGAAGTTTAAGTTCATCAAAAAGCGATTCTGTATGAATTTGTCCCATCATATCAAGTGAATCCAGGTGTAACAGATGGTGTCTAGTTGTTGACAAGTAGTTGACATTTGGAGCAGAAATCATTTTTGGTTCCAGTATATCAATCTGAAACAGCATACATCATCGTAGACTTCGATTCAGATTTTTCAGCAGTTGTGATTCTCGGCTCCACCAAGCTCCTAGCTCCTACGGTTTAATGGGTCCTAATCCTTATTTGAATTTTATTTTGGAAATCTGTCCTTTTCGAACTGAAATTTTTAATTTGCCACTTTAATATAAATAACTCCAGCTATGCATATAACTGTATCTGGTTTTTTCGAACTTGTTGCAAAATTGATGAGTAGACAAATCACTCAATTTCTGAAACTGTTCTTTTAAAGACCAAATGTAAGATTTTACTGTTAGCCAGACAAGAGAAAACAGAGCAGCACTAATGTAACATCCAAATAGATTTAAGAAAGTTCTTTACTGCAAATTAATCGAAAACCTTCCCACTTTTTCCAGTAACTTGGAGATGAACAAAGGGCGGGAGTGTTAAAGCACTCGCTGTCAGTAAATATAGTCTCAAATACATAAGTGAAAAAAGTGTCAAATTTTCGTCAATAATTCAAATCAGCTAATTTTAAGGGCGGAATTTTAGGAATAAATCACTTATTCTACTATTCTTGATGATCATTCAAAAACTTTAAATTGTACCTTCACCGATATTAATTCAATCAAAAACTTAGCATCAATGTTATTCACCGGTAATAGAATACTTGCTTTTGAAGATTCAAGTCCACGTGCCTGAAATAGAACAACTTAACACATGTAAACGAACAACCATAATGTTCGAAGCTGTTTTACTAAAATGAAGATTGCTATAAATTCCGTTCTTACTACTAAAATAAAATTAAATGAAGCAATCCATTTCAAAATGCCTGTTAACTGTTAACAATAACTGTTAACTGTTAATAACTGTTAACAATGGAAACTGAATTGGTTCAGAATGATAATCCATCAAGATCAATATTTACTGTTTAGAAATTTAATGTTAATAATAAAAGATAAAGATGGATGCAGTGGGATGAATAATTACATAAAATTTTAGAAGTTTCTGTTATCATTTTCTCCTAAAAACAGTGCCTAACTAGACTTGATCACAAAAAAATTGGATGCTGATAAAATAATTTAACCAACAATTTACCTTATAAAAACTCCAAAAGAAAGCAGATAAAGCAATTTCCATAGCATTTACTGGTGCATCGTCTAGGAGCTTCTTGGTAGTTCTATTTCGCGTTGCCGCTTCTTTATGTTCAAGATGCTTAGCCAAAACCCAGTAATATAAGTCCACTAAAGCATATTTTTTTTTAGTTTCATCTAATCAATTTTTTGAACCTAATTGAATCAGATAAAACAATGTAGTTACAACCCTCAAATGTTAATATCTTTTAATTTAATATTACTGCATTTATTATTATAGTTTATATAAAAAGCGCAAATAATATATAAAAACATTAGATTAGAAGTGGAAGTGGAATATTTTCATCTATTTTAATTGCTTCCACCGTGATCTTTGAGTGAATGGAGGAAAAAAAACATACTTTGATGAGGTTCGGCAGTTGAACAAGCACTACTGTTACAATCATTTTTATCAATAGCACTACTCGGCTTGCTTGAATCAATAGTTATACGAACTTCGTGTGAACTCGTTGGACTTTTCAAGTGATGTTTAAGATACCTGTGTGCCAACTCAATATTTGAGATCTGCAAATAACAAACTTCACAGAAATAGCATTAGCATTATTTTAAAGATAAGGTCAGACTGTTATAATATGACGAATACAATCCATGATGCTGATCGTCAAGCCTTGAATCAATTCGGTTAGCTGTTGACACATTACCTAGCACCAACTGATCATCAATTTCGGAGTATCGCTTAGTGATATATATGAGAATGAAGACAAAGCAAATAAATAATGTTGGCAAATGGTTAAGACAAAATGTAATAATGTTTTCCCCTGATTTTCCGATCTTGTGTACTTGTTTTCCAACCACAAGCAAATCAGAACATGCAGAATGATACATAAAAAAGCTGGTTCCATATTAAAAAACTATCACCTTAACTTGCGAACAAATAATAGTTTGCCAATGGCTAAGTAGGGCTACTAATGCTTGTTTTCTTCGTGTTTCGTTCAAATAATGTCTCATTTCCGAATAATCGGCTTGTTGCCAATAACCACTGAGATCTTCCTGAGCAGCATAACGCAACAAAATTGTCGCTAACATACAACTGGGACATGAAGCTGCAGCCTTATTATATAGCTGCACATCCGAAAAACAGCTTTTTTCGAATACAAATAGCTAAAATACAATTATAAGATCATTAGAAATTGCTAAACTGCATATGGAGACTATACAGTAACTGAAGGATAAACTGTGAGTAGGAGGATGCGTGCGACAGAAAACATTAAAGAAAAAATTACAATTCCCATATTTATTATAGCACAGAAATTGCATACCTGACCATTATTGCAATCCATTACTTCCAATAGCAATCTTATTAATGCAAAATCTATCCATTCATCTACGGCTGCTATATTTTTTGTTAAACTTTCGCTTAAGCGATCAATAGCATATATCCAGGAGGTCACACAAGGTGCAAACACATCAAAAAATGGCCATTCCATGCTTTAGAAGTAATGGAAAGTTATGAATTACAAGCCGAAATGGCTTTTTACAATGAAACTTACGAAACTACTTCCAAAATCTCTAAAACTTTGAAATTTTTTTGAAATCCTTTTCTCCAAAGCTTATATATTTTATCAAATGATAAAAACAAACCTGGCTGTTTGCCCAATCGGTTTACATAAACCGATTGTTAGTGTACACGGTCCGATCAATAAAGACAGCTGATCCTGTAGACCTGATGAATGTAATTTACTATTCACTCCACTGCTATTTACTCTTAACGTAATATCAGGAAGCTCACTATCTGTAAGGAAGAAAAGTACTGTTTGAATTTATTAAATGAAACTTTTAACAGCAAAATTAAACTTTTTACGTGGAAATAAATGCGAAATAAGATTAACCTCATACGTTACTGCTCAAATGACAATAACTAACAACGATACATCAGATTATATGTTGGAATAAATATTCGAAATAATTTAAAATAATTTTTTTCAATATTTTAAAATATTTTAAATATTTTAAACAACATCAATGAATTGCATTTTCAACCAACCTATAACAACTCTTAGATCATATCCGCCAAAACGATTGTTTAAATTAAGCTGGTTCCAATTTGTACAATATTTAAGGGAAAAAGATTTAATGTAGGCGAAGTCCAATTTCCATGACTCAACCAACTGGAGAAATTGTGCATGACCTTTCAAGGTAAATTCCATTCCCGGAAAACTTTTCTTCTGAAAAGAAGCATAATGAAAACGTACCAGTGAAAACTTGTTAGCTTTATTATTTAGATTAAATCATGCATCACAATGAAAATATACTGAAATTCTAAAATCTAAAGAAAAGTATTTACTCTGTGGGAGTCATTGCTTGAAAGAAATAAAATGGTTTTATGAAAACGCAATAGAATAACACTGTTTCGAGTTAGACGAGATACAGAATCTTCAAGCGATGTAGAGTGGATAGTTTTTTCAATCATTCCACACTGGAAGAAAATGACATTGATGTCGGGAAACGTAATACTGCCGTGCAAACACAACTGACCTTTTTTGTTGTCTAAAAGGAGCGGATGATAAATGAGGAAGTATTAACACAGATGCACTTTTCTATAGCTAAGTCATTTCTTAAGCAAACAACCGTGATCTAAAAATAATCGATTTAGTTATGACAGCTTCTAGTATTTAGAAATGCATATTAAAACCGAAGTAAAATCTATTATTTAAAATAATAACCCTTCATCCAAGACCTACATTAATGGAGCAGATATTAAAGTTATACTTCTTAAGGAACCTGTGACATGTAAAAAATGATACTAGGTTTTGGCTGTTAGAAACATTAATTTAACAACTAATAATTGAACATAACTAACGAACCTAATTCTTTACTTAGATCATTTGTAAGAGGTTGAGAATGGTGTCGGAAGGAACACAACGTGTAAAGATGCTGAACAATAAAAACGGGATTTACAAGCATGAACCCAGCCGATATTTGCTCCATAATGCGTTGTGTCACTTCTACAGCCAGCGGTGTTATAAAGATCTGAAGTTAATCGACTTAACAGAATGCTTAGGTATCAGCACAATATTCTTAGTGTTAATGGTATGCATTCGCTAGCTGAATTCTCATTTCAGATATCCTTGATTTCGTTATACTGCAAGAATTTTATTTCACATCCGTATCTCAATTTTTGAATCATTACAGGTTGATCAGCAGATCAACCTGGCAATGATTTGACTGTAGGAGTTGAATGAGTTCGCTGGAAGACTTTTATCTAAGCACATATCTTATTATGTCTTCATATTATTCAACTATTAGAATCTCAGCCAGAGATGGAGCATTCAAAGAGATTTTTTAATAAGTGGAAAGTGAAGTCACATTAGCTGCTTAACCCATTTACGAGCTTCTATCCACTGATCCACTTCTTTTGATTAAATACCACACCTGTACACAAATTATTAAAAGATAGGTGAGCATCTGAAAAAAATCAGAAGAATCGATGAAGGGCCCTATATAACTAACTGTTGCAAATGACGATAAACTATCACGGTGGTACAGTACCTTGACAAATCCTATGTTCAATAAATTCTTTACATGAGTACAATATCTGATAACTTACGTGCAATTGAGTACCCAAAATGCCATTTATTTTCATCGTATGTTGGTCAGAAATATCGGCATCACTAGATGATTCAGCAGCACTAACATCTTTTTTCATAGCAAATTTCTGCTTTTCTTCTTGTTTGGTTAATAGAAGTTCATTGATTCCAGATGTTATCTTGGAAATTTCAAGTTCAGAACTCTTAACTTCAAGAAAGTCCATGTAAAGTTATCAGGATACGTTAGCTCATTCAAAAATTTTCACCTTTCGGAAGAAGCTGGATTTCAATTTCGAATTGTTGTCATTTGTCATTCCATTTTCGTAAACACTTAAAAACGAAGCATAACTTTCATGAAGGATTGTCGATGAAAGTATTGGACCAACCATATGATGATATACATTAACATCAGTTGATGAAAACGTCGAATGGAAAGATTCGTTAGAGGATGCCTTCCTTTCACTCATAGTTTCCTATAGATAAAATTTTTTTAAGCTAAGGTAATAATTTTAAACTTATAACACATACATTAGTTACCTCTTTTCCGCTTTCTTCAGTGACAGCAAGGTTTTTCTGCTCCGTTAGATTTTTCGCACTAATCATCCTGCAATACTACAAAATGATCAAAAGACTTTTTCTAAAATAAGCAAACAATTAAAATGTTCGAAAAAATCACCATCTGCCCTCATGAATAATACTTTGACCAATAACAGGCTGCACATTCTTCTCACTTCTAATACTGCTCGGTAAAGAGGGCTTATTAAGTTCGCGCATCAGCGATAGCCCACTGAAAAAGTATTATGTGTCAATAGAAAATCAAACTTTTTTAGTAAATCCAACTTGAAATCTTAATTAACATAGGCATAAAAAGAAATACAAATGATGAACGCATGAGATTACACTGTGTCAACAGGACCAAAAAACCAAGTGTGACCAAAGCAGGCGCAACTATTTGAATCATCCCATAGAAAATAAAGTCTGCAAAAGAAGTAAAAATGAAAGATGAAATTAAGTCACATAGTTCCTGTATATTTCTCTCGATATCATAGAGATGCCAATTCATCTTTCGTTCTCCCCCTAATTTTATAAGTTTCGCCACTTAAAATCTCCACTAGAAGCACAACTTGAAATTTCATAAAAAGAAATTAGTACACTGTGATGTGATATGCATACAGGATATATTTTCAATAAAGAAAATCAAATGAATGTTAATACTTACCTCTTGGTACGTTTATCGTGTTTATTAAGGAAATTTTTTTGTTCGAAGAACAGATGTGCTTCAGACACTTTGTAAGGCAAGCACACGTCGAAACTTACGTCACTCAATGAAACAGAGCCACACTCAATCCACTTTTCTACTTCCCTTGTCAAAACAGACACAAACTGCTTCAGCTGAATCTGGAAAATTTTCATTTCTTGAATTACCCAACGACCTTTTTTCAATATGCTGAATTTATTCTTCGCCTACCGAAAGATTTCAAAAATGATTTTAAAAAGTGAATCAACATCGTTCAAAAAATTAACTGTTTATTTTGAGATATGACTAGGGAAATATTGATCATTCACATTCATAGTTTAAATGTATAAGAAACATGATGAACAAGAAAAACCCATCGCTGCCTTTTTGAAAAAAAAAACGGAAATTAATTTCAAAAAAATCTGTATTTCTCAACAAAGTGAATTTAAAATTTCTATAAGAAATACCATTTTGTACGATATTATAAAAAGCTAACTGAAGGAAGTTTCAGAAGAATATTAGAGCAAAATGATGCATTGTGACAACTGCAACAAGCCAAACGAATAGGTGACAGTTCCAATTGAAATGCACTTCGTTCTTCCATAATAATTACTTTCACTTGCTCAATGCTAATTCGTAATGATTTATATTTTAACTGAAAATATTTTGAAGAGCGCACGATGTGAAAAAATATGAATAATTTATCACTTACACATGTCGGAATTTTCATAGAGGGAAACAAATAGAACACGTGTGTTTAGCTTGCTTACTCATTGATGAGAAATAATCTTCTACCATTATTAATCATAAGAATGAAAAAATTTTGGAGCAAAAACTAACGTTCTCTTCGGATTCACAATTTTGGACTGCTGCTTTCCGATGAATTAAGTTTATTGCAGCATATGGACATGTACGAGGATCATTCATATGAATGCAAAAATCATATCTGCAAAGAATGCAATGAGTTAAATGATTTTCAGCATATCTATTTTCTGTGTTCCCACATGCGTTGCAAAACGAATTTTTCCGCTTTATACTAACAAGAATTTGTTTTGTTCATTTAAGGCAGTTATTTAAACAGTTAAAGAGCCCATATTTCCATTAAATTTAAAATAAATTTTAAACAGTCTTCTAAAAGACGAACTTTTCAGGTATTAATAATTTATCATCGGAGCAAACAGCCAATACAGTTAATGATTCGATGCACTGTACAAGTACAGCAATCTGCAATGATAAATAATGATTTACATGAAATTATTTTGTAACATCTCTTAACCGGCCGACGAATCAAAAAAGTTAAGTGATCTGATATTAGGTGCGGTATTTTCAAAAAACCAAAAAAAGATCGATCCGGTATGTAACAATCTACCACACTGAAATGCACTGAATTAAATGATTAAAGAATCAAAGCGATCGAGATGTCGAAACTGGTCCTAAGAATCAACCCTGAAGTTTTTCCTGACTTGATATCCAGCTTATAAGCAACTTCCGAAGCAGCAGATGAAAATACTTATGATTTCCACGAAAAAATTCACTCCAACTTGAAAAAAACGAAACCTGGGAGGAATGAAGTTTACCAAAGAATTGCCCGACAGAAATTTCCATAAGCCAACCATATTCAAGCGTTGCAGCGTCCCACGGAATATCCACATCAGAAAAAAAGGCCTGGCCACGAAATGAAAACGTTTCCAGTACCAATAAACAATTCGCAGTACTTGGAAATTCGGGGCATGGCTTGAATTTCACCGAAGCTGTCCCGAAAGCAACCTAAAGTTAAAGGTAAGATTTCCTCATGATGTTAATATTTCAATTATTAATTCAATTTAAAAAATAATTAAAGTTTTACCTGAACCATTGCACCGTATGCATCTTTAACAAGTTCCAAAACTAGTTCATCAACTCGAACTTCTGGACAACTATCTGAAAATTTTCATAATAAAATATTTTTCATCCAATTAATGCAGTTTTTCCATCAGCCTTATCGACTAAATTCGATGAAAACTCACAAATATGAGGCATATTCTAGCATATACGCTTATTAAAGGGTTTTTATAGCAAATTAACCAGAAGAAATCAGCAACGAAAACATCGGGAGATAAAATTCTTCAAGCAATGAAAATTAAATATATAACATGTTCCCTTTAATTATTTTTTGGCTACATTTTGATCAGAAAAAAGGAAAGGTCTTGAAAAGTTCGAAAATTTCACCTGAATTAGAAAGCTAAAAACTGAAAGCTCACCTGCAGTTGAGTTCATTTTTGAACTGTGAACCAAGCAAAGTCCTTTAATTTTATCAATGCGTAAGTAGAGGCTCAACGAAAGCGGTCGGTATCGCTCACATTCACTGGAAATGATGTTGCCGTAAAGTGGACATGGCGAAGTGTCGCTGTTAATTTTTCCAACATCAGTGAGCTATAAATTAAAATGTCATGGCTTACAAATAAAAATGAGTGCCTTCAAAAACAGTAATATCTTCAAAAAAAGAATAAAAAGAGCAGCAGAAAAATTGCATTTAAAAAATTAGGAAATTCGCGCAGTTTTTTCAAATCTCGTTCTTTTGCATAATTTCCTAAAGTCTCTAACAACTCATTCTTATAATTTTCTTACCAAACATCAGTTACTAAAGATTAATCTAACATATGCAAAAATTTGCATAAAGTAAGCTTTACCTGATCAAATAATCCGAAATAATTATTTTTCAGATCAATCATGAAACGAATGAGCAAGCCTACTAGTATGATTTCGGAGTCGCTTATATTAATCTGAAAAATTTCATAGTATTTCACAAATCCCAAAAAGAACACTAGGTTAAAAAGGAATTGAAGAAAACTACAAATTCGACAAACTCATTAGTGACAAGATTAAGGCCAAAGCTGGTATTAACGATTTTTGGCACTTACAGTTGATTAAAAAAGTATTAAAGTAATTTATCGTGATCCTAACTGAAATTTCAGCAATCCAAAGGATTGCTTCAAAGACTATTAATGTAGTTCAAGTATTATAGAAACCTCAAATGATAAATGATCAGGAGGTAAAGTGATTGGAGTTGTTTGTTTTTTTGTTGTTGATTTGACTACATTCAGCGGAAGGTCGGATGGGGGATCATAATATAAGGGATGATTAGTATATTTAAACAGCAGTGTGACCCTTTCAGTTCTCCACAATTCTACCCAATCCTAAAAAGTTCCATAGTAATAAATAAAGCTCTCGGGAAATATATTAATATTACATTTAAAGAGAAATTGAAACAAATATAACGTGATTGGCAAAATAACCAAAAATTCAGGATTGAAAAACGCTTAAACAAAGAATCAAGTTATGGATCATCTCAGTGACAAGAATCACTAATGCAAAAATAAATAAATAACTAACCTGCGCTAAATGTAATACAGCTGGTAAATCCTCGACTGTTGGAGAAGGAGCAGTGAAAGAGGCGTATTTAAGAAGAGAATGCAAAATACTGTAGAGAGGACTTTTAGGTGGTAACCATATGCGTAATGCAACCATACCTTGGGCTTTAATTTCGTAAACAGTTGTTATTGTTTTAGGGTAAAAGTCGAGAAATGGCAATGCAAACGATATCGTTACATTTTTACCCACAATAGCAGCTAAATGATTCTCCGCGGATACTGAAGAACTAAAATTTTAAATTTAAATGTGAAAGAGTAAGTAACAAACATAGAAAAACAATAAGTAAAAAACTAAAGAATATGTGGTTTCCTTCCTCTACTACCTGAAATATTGATGACTCTGGAATAAATGTAACTTACCTCGCGTCAATCCAATTGTGTTCGTTCAGCAACAGTGTAAGTTCAAAACTATCCATAGCATTAATTTCAAATTCCCATGTGCATGGGATGAATTTAAACAAATCTATACGTGAATTTGAAGCCCATTCATTGATTAAATCCTAGAAAAAACAAGCTTAATTCAATGAATGTATCAAATCTTTGCATAACAAATTCCGGAGCAGGAAGAAGCAGAAACCTCAATTTTTATGAAAAATTGAATCAGAAAAACACGGAGAATCCTCATAAACAAATTGAAGAACTTCATGGCATAAATTAAATGAAAATCATTAAAAATTAATGATTAAAAATTTTAGAATATTTATTCGCTTTAAAAAAAAGAGTTTTTGAATTCATTTGCAAAAAAAATTCTTCTAAAGAAAACTTACAACAAAAAAATGCTTATGATCCCACACAATCCAAGTGCTGGCTTTATTAATTTTAATAGCATATTTCCAAACTTGGTGTCCATTGAAGATGCGTGGATAATGAACAGTGAGTGTTAAACGAAGAGTTTCACATTGGAAAAATTTGGGATATGCGAGAGAAGTGGACGATTCAACAAATAAAAAACAGCAACGAAGAACAGTCTCATATCCCTTCTCTGTTGTTATCCAAGGCAATTTCAACTGCAATGTATAAATAGATTTTTATTCATTTCGTAACCAAATTCTTTGATTCTTTGAAATCCCAAAGCTTATATAGTTTGAGATTAAAATGCTAAAGAAATTACATCGACAGATGAGCCTTGCTTAACCAGCAAATGCAAAGCATTCAGTTCGTCCCCTCTCATAAACCAAATGTCAATCGCTGCGTCATTCCAGAGTGAAATTCTCATATCGTGTGATAACAAAATTCGCCGTTCACCTTCTTTCGGCATTACTCTGAAATACAAAATTAGCTACTAGAGATTGTTATTTTAGCAAAAAAATTGATTATCCAGAAGGCTGACAAAGAAAAATTATGAAATAAGACTTTGTGATCGCAAATTAATAATGAAAACATAATAACAAAATAATGAAAAACATAATAATAACGTAAGTAATGATAGCATACGTTACTTCCAAATTACGATACTCAGGTGGAAAGAAAAAATCATAGAGAAGAACACGCTGAGCGTCAGCCCATGGACCATATGAAAAAACGGTATTTTTATCAAATCGCCACACAGATTCCCAAACGGGAAGATCCTCAGTCATTGATTGTTTACCTTCCTTCACAACACCTTGAAATGCAATGTAAATGAAAATTCTGGTCAGAAACTCAATAAATTGCAATTCGATTATCATTAAAAGCTCAAAGACTCAATTCTAACGCTTAACGACAAATGAAATTGCAAATTCTTGACCAGCCTAAGACATTAAAATCAGTTCACGCATGGTAACAAAGGCTTGAGTGGTAACAGAAAAAGTTTTCAAGAAAAATCGCAAAAAAATCATGAACTTTGAATAATGTTTTCATTATTACAAAGGAAATCAAAACGTACCCGGAATAGACTGACTATAAAAGAAATTGAGATGAGCCGTTTGAACAATTGAGAAACCATCACCCATTGTTCGAGGTGGTGGATCGCATCGACCATTAAAATTCGGCGATTTTTTTTCCAAAAATTGACTACACTGTACTAGTGTGACACGAACGTTTTCTGTGCCACCAACAATGCTAAGTAAAGCCACGTCATCACCTTTGCCATATTCCTTGAGTGAAACTTCTGCTAAAATAAAGAAAAACAAATTCAATGCGTATAAGAAATTTAGACACTTAATACTTTAGATACACAGAAAAATACAATCGGAAACGAAGGAATGGAAAAATTGATTTCCTCAAGATATAGTTAAGAACGCATTTCACATATTTTTTTTTGATCTATTTCATCAAAAAAGAGTTTTTCATGTCAACTCTTAAATATGTTTAAATTATCACATTTACACAATACATGCTGAAGGAATGTTTTATGATTTAAACGGATTTTTATTCTGGAAAAAGCAGTATCCTGTATTGAAGTGCGGAAGAAAAATCAATAAAGTTGTAAATTTTCGAAAGAAGGTACTCGGTTTTAATCTTTTCTTTCTGCAAAGTTTACTAAATTGACTAACACGTATAATTTTCAAAAGATGAAACAATCATTGACGGAAGAAGTACGTTTCCAGCAACTAGGCGTCCCGAACTGATATCTAATTTAATATATCCAATTAAAGACCATAAATTATCATAACACTTGTCCCATTCCGCTTCTTCTTCTGCTAAAATAGCATAAGCAAAACATAAAAATGACGCAATAACAAATTCAAAACAATTTACTTGGCTCTCACAGGTTGAATATGTCCAACGATATACCTAAAATAGTTCTACCTATTTAATACGCATTTCACGATAGCATGAATAAATTTGTTCGCTTACTTGTAAACCGTCGTACTTTGTCATTTTCATCCTTCAAAGGAATAAACAATTTTTCAAGACCAAAATATTTTGCCAAAGACCGATAATTTGATAAACGGTTATAGATATGCAGCTGTAGACCATTTAACGATACATGTAATCTCGAAATATTACTAAAAGCTTTGTCATATCATTTAAATCTAAGTTTTAAATTTATTTAAATAAATATAACATCTTCTTTTAAACGGAAATCGTTTAATTAAATTCCTTTGTACCAAACCTTTTATGCGCATAATCTGATGGAATGTAATTCCAATACGAAAAGATAATCCATCCATCGTTGCAGCAGAATAAGAAATTTTGACACATACATCGAAAATCGCGAAACATTATTTTACCGGAAAGGAAACTAATGGAAAATGAACCTGAAAAAGTGGCTTTTGCTTGCAAATAACTTATGTATACAGTAGTTATAAATTACATTTAAAAAGATACAGAATACATGCTTCCATATCATTGAATTGACGAAAAAATTTATTATGCAGAAGCAAATGGATGTAAAAAGAAACCATAATAAGCAAAACTGTATTTGACTCAATCACTTACTCAAATACTCATGGTCTCAAATATTCATGATCATTTTAAAAAATGTAATAGATATAGACGTGATTTTAATGAGCGAAGTTCGGGAAAAATAGAGATGTGGTTATCATTTTTCTAAGGACTATGCAACTAGAACCACATATTCACTTCAGATTCTTATCTTTTTCAAGGCAGCGTATTTCATTGTATCACGCATCATAAATTTCCACGTCAGTAATAGAAAATTAAACTAGTCAGCTTATAGCCGTATATAAATCTATCCCTTTGCCGAAAATATCTTTTCAAATGTTTGCAGTTATCAGATGAAAATTTTCGAAATATTATATCAAAATAGAAATTGAAAACTTTTCAAGTAAGATATGTATGAAGAACTATCATTCAAATCTAAGTTTTAAATTTATTTAAATAAATATAACATCTTCTTTTGAACGAAAATCATTTTATTGAATTCTTTTGTATCAAACCTTTTACTATGGAATAGTAAATTAACTAAAATATAACACAAAATTTACCCATGGATATTTGTACATCATATCCTTTCAGATGAGCAATTCGTGTAAGCACAAATGCAACGATTGGACCAACAACTCGAGACATATAGTATGTTATGAAAACGATCCATACAATAAATAATAATAAACTTCCCAGCATCACCCAGAAACTTGCTTTGTCTGGCTAAAAGTTTATTAAAGTAGTAGTGATAGCTCATACTTCCAAAGCTAAAAAAAGTCGAAGTATTATCTTTGACATGGCTCGCGACACAAATTATATGACAAAATAATAGCAAGCAGCAACCAAAATTTCCATAAATTGATTAGAACCTAACCTTTACTTTAAACTTGAGTTATTAAATCTTACCTGAACAATTTCCCGATAATCCCTCCACTGTACATTAATATCTCCCGGCAGCATTATGGAACCATTTTTTTCCCAAAATGAGAAACTCTTGCTGAGCAGTGAGCCAGTGTAATTCATATCGTCGTCGTTATCGTGATTTTCACATTCCTCGAAGTTCAATTATCTCAGATATAATCAGTTTTTTTTAAAAATATCACTAAAGCCGAATTCCCGAATTCTCTTGAAGCATTGCTTGTATGGATGTAACGAAGCAAAAAACGCAAAAGAAAACAAGGCAAAATCGAATTTTTATGTAACATGACTTCATACAGCTTAAAAAAGATCAAAAATTTGGATGAAAATTTACAAGTTTCAATTTCTCTACAGAAGTAGAGCAAATATTATCAATAAAACATTTTACTTAAATGCCAAATATATCTGACACGATATGTTATGCATCGTAATTTCACGATCTCTTAGATATTTCGTTATTTTTTTTTGTATCTTAAGAAAACTTCACATTTTCTCTTCATTAGATCTGGTATATTTTTGGATTTTGCTTAAATAAAAACGATTTTGTTGGGTCTATTTAAATGGTGAATAAATTTTAATGTGACAACATGAATATGTTGTGTAACAAATCAAAAAAAATTGAGAAAAAATCTATCAATGGTTACCATGAGCAATAATTCATTTAAGATTGAAGTCTTTCCGAGAAATGTGAATTTCATAGCATTTATAAACTATAACAAAAATTCAAGGTAAACAAATTGATGTGGAAAACGCTACAAATAAGTAATGACAGAGTATATGTTTTAAGAGTTTAAAAAACATTAAACCCGCCTTGCCGGTGAAGATAACGAGATCTAAACGACAAACAATTTGACCAATGATCAAATATAAGCCAGAGCGTTAAAGCAACTGATAAAGTGATTCTCTTTCAAGGTGCCTATTAAAATTCAACTTGATGTAATTTTGTTGCCATTAGCTGAATGACTAGCACAGATGATCAGATAAGCCCTTAATACGTAAATTTACTAGTCATTCATTAATAACGAAATATGATACAACAAGCACTCTGGACTACTTCATATACTAAATAAACGAAGTTCATATTTCCTATTTGCCATATCTTAAAAGTTGCTAAAAAATGAAGGAAAAGGTAGCGATAATTTGAAATGATAATGACATATGCCGTTCTATTTTAGTAATCATCAAAAAAACAATTAACATTAATCAGAATAATCAAATGAGTGCAATTCTGAAAATCAGATAAAGAAAACACTGGAGTTTCAAAAAACTTTCATGATGAAATCAACATTGAATTAATTATTTCCCTAAGATGCGCTGTACTACATTCCTCATTCAATGCAAGTTGTCGTAATTCTGCTATACGTTTCTTTCGCATTTTTCCTTCATCAAGACGCCGTGAAGCAGCAAACGCAGCTCGAATAACCTGAAACTTGTCTTTAAATAATACCCGTCAAAAAAACAATTAACATTAATCAGTAATTGAAGTCAGTGCAACCTATTATCCTTTTTGCCAAAAATTTTTCAAAAATGAAATCTTGATTGTAAAGTAACAAAAACTTCAATTACCTCTTTTCTGAGTCCAGAAATTTTTGCAGCAAAGAATCCATAAGATTTTGGACATACTCCATCAGTTAGCGTATATAGAAAGGTAACATTTTCCATGGTTGGATCTTCGGCATTTCCATTTTCAACAACGCAAGCCTGAAAAAAAGTCCAAATTCAAAATTCAAATTTCTGAGTGGGAAAATATCAAACGAAACTGCTAAACGTACGTATTGGAGAATCCGCTAAATCTGTTATATATACGAAACTAAGAGGATGAAATGACATGTTACTGGCTACATGTAAGGTTTTAGCAAAAAAATTATTTCTAGTGATATCGCTGAATAAAGTCAACGAAAAGAATTAAGATCTGGAAATGGATTCGCTGAAATGGCAACTAAGATTATGATAAGACATTCATGGCGATATTTTATTTGATTAAACAGTACGATAGTTGCACTTCTGATAAGTTCGAGTTCAGGTATAAAGGTTTTTTCAAGAGAATGATATTTGGGAATCATGATGGCGTATGGTCACGTTATGAGAAGATCATCTATAATGAATGTCTTATGAAAAATGTTAGTTTTGGAAAGTTATTTAACTTGAAGTTTCAGTGACATTTCCATTATCACTACTTCATAATAGAAAACTAACCATATGTGCTGTTTTGACGTTGCTAAGACTTTCAAATGCTTTACACAAACTGTGATAATGAGTGGAAAAAAAGGTACGACAGTTCAACCGGGTTGCTACGTCTAGCAGTACTGCATATGCTATGGCGGTCCCATCATGAGTGCTAAAACAATATTCATTTTGAAAACTTGTATATAGTTTTCTAAAAATCACAAACTGCTTCTATTATAAAAATTTAGAAAGTGATTTGAAAATGTGAGAGTCGAAAACTGCATCATGAACTTTTTAAGGAAGACAGAAATTAAAGTGCATATCATAATTGGAAGGCAAGTGGATGAATCCCAACGCTTTATAAATTAATGATTAAAATCTCGATTAGTGAGGGAAGAAATATGGATATTACCTTGTAATAAATATTAACATAAATGTAAGTAAAGGAAAATGCAAATGTTACCTTGTCCCTCGACCTAGTTCATCCATTATCACAAGAGAATGTCTGGTCGCATTTCTCAAAATCAAATTCGTTTCATATAATTCAACATAGAAAGTAGATTGACCTTAAATATATCTTTGGAAATATAGACTTTTAGGCATGTTTTGAATTTTTAGAAATAACAAATGAATGTTGACCAGCAATAATTCGATCACCCGCACCCATCCTTGTAAAGATTCGATCAACTGGTGACAATTTCATTTCATCCGCAGGAACAAAGCTGCCCTGCAATGTGATAATGTAGTACCCATTAAACTATGAAATAACTCTAGAGATTCAGATTTAACTTCCTCTAAGTTGGAAAGTCAAATTAAGTAATAATTTAAAACAAAATAATGCTTAATATCTCTAGAGTTAATAACATATATGCAAAAAATAGAATTTAACAGAAAATATCGATCATGTGATTTATTGGCTAGAAAGGTCAATTTTCAATCTTCTTATAGGTCACCTATTCCTAGAAGGTGTGCAGTGATATTTCAGCATCAAAAAGAAATAAATGTGCATTATATAATGCGATGACTGCGCAAATCTTTTTATTCATATCCCGATCATATGAATGCTATATTAGATATAGAATACAGTAGCTGATAATTGAAGCAGTCCTTCATTTTTCTGCAACTAATAGAAAGCACTCACCATTTGAGCAAGCACAACCAGAACACCAACTTGACGCATTAATGTCGATTTCCCACCCATATTCGGACCTGTCAGCAGAACTGCTGACGGTTCATTTCCTCCCAGTGAAACACTGTTTGGTATATATGTGAAACTACTGCCTGAAGCAGCTATAGCAGCAAGCGACGGATGGTATCCGGATCTGATTTCTAACACAGGCTGAAAGTATAATCAACGATTAATTTAAGGATTTATTGTGACGGTCACAGCTAATTGACTTTTTAATGCAGCTATAATTTTACAAATAAGCAGTTTCATCATTTATTTATTTTTATTTTCAAGTATTATTCCATGGGCTAATGTAAAATTTAATCTTAATTATTTACAAATATCATCAATAAATAAATTTGCAAATCATAATTCATAAATAAACAAATTTATACCAGGTTACTATCGTAAATAAATTGCGGACGACACATATTTAGACCACAATCATGACCATAACGTGTTAAAGAAAGAAGCACATCAAATGTAGCCATACGTTCAACAACCACTGTCCATTTCGTAGACCTTAAAATGCACTAAATATCGATTTAAGTACGATTTCCCTATTATTTCAATATTACCAGTTTAGATTTTTGGAATTAGATTTCTAAAATAGTAAACTTTCATTGCTAATTAATTTCCAACAACCGACATTTCAAAGTCAAACAGATCGATGAGAATTTCAGATTATCATCAATTGTTAATCGCCACTTAAGCTTATGACGATTACAGAGATGAGCAGCAAAAAGAGATACGCATTATGTTTACCAGACATATGGCGTCTCACTACTCTCCGATAAATAACTGACAAAGCGTTTTACTGTTATGATGCAACTTCGTTGACTCAAAATTTATATTTATATCGATTACCAACGCTAATATACACTAAATTGCTTATAAAACACTTAAATGATTATTTTAAATATTGCCGATTCCAGGCTAACAAGCATTGAAGTAAATTAATGTACCGCTATTTCAACTGCCAAGAAGCATATTTATAGATTCCTCCTTACTATTCCGAAAATATCGAATAGCATTATTTACTTGAAAACTTCTCTAACCTGTCACCAAAATCAGCGAATACGCGCCGCATAATATCACGCCGTAAGATATCGAGTTGATTTTCAGCTTCGTCCAAATTTCTAACTAAGTTCATCAGTTCATTTGTTACCATCCGCTTGTAGCCCTATTTCAAAAAATGATACCAAATAAATGGAATAGAAATCAGCGAAACAGGGTGAACGTCGGAATTTGATTAGTATTATCCAACCTTTCGAGAGGATTTAAGCTCGAATTCATGTCCCAAATTCATAGCGATCACTTCTGGTATTTCAAGCTGATAACGAGATCGTCCGCTTCCAAAGAAATTGATGCTCTGGAAACACTTTTAAAATCTCAATAAAATTAATAAAGCTAAGACAAATGCATTCAAGATCTTCAAATAATGGCCCTTCACACATAAGTTTTGATCATTCATTTCGATGAGAAACAAAGAATTTACTGAACAACATAGTTGCTTCCTGATGACATTCAAATACAAATCCAATTCATGGATGCATCCCTTTACATCACAAATCGTATCGTCGTATTCCTTAATTACACCTTTTTCTGGTACAATAATACCTTCTTCTTGCGCTTTGTCACGATTGAATGCATTCTGCAAACACCATATTTAGACAATGAGACAAATTCAATTCGTCCTCAATTTCAAGTACATTGAACGATACAACCGAAATAAGCAAATACATTGTACAGTAATTTGACGGCTTCTACATCTTAAAATAGTGGCACTAAGGATTTCCATGCCTGCTGAAGAAATGGGATTGAAACCAATTTAAAGAGGAACAGAGCTTAGTAGCTGCCGCATTCTCTAGTATTTGGAAAGAAAATATTTCGATTCCGAACATTCTAATTGGAAATACTGTGCAACAAATAAGGTTGACTGATTTAGATGAACTCAACATGAATTAAAAATAAAACGACTAAATGCATTTTCCTATAACTACGAATACAGAATGAATAATAAACAATCCAAGAAGAATGGAGAAACCTTTGGTTCTATGGAAAATAGCTCAAGAGATATAATCAAGTTCGAAAATAAAAGATTAGGGAATTAACAAGGACAATGACAAATCGAAATTATGATTGCCTTAATAACTTAGGAAAACGAGTTACTTTAAAATGTTCCAGATCATTTGAGATGTCGGGAAATCGATGTCCAAAGCATCGTTGCAACAATGAGGGACTACAATAGCTTTTGGTTAATACAAGCTCTTAATTTACTGCTTATATTAAATAAAACATATCCAACCCCTGCCTTCATACTAATCAATCTTATTATGCTGAGACAGCAACAGTTTCGAAATTAACTATAAATATGATTCAATCAAAAAATTGACAAAGTGTAAACTATCTTATTTCATGCACATACATTAAAACTATTTTCATAAACTTTGAAACCAGTCTTTGGATTTCAAAACAAAATCTTTTCGAAAACTTTTTACTAATTCAAAATAATTTTTATGTCAAATGTTTCAATAAATTTCTTGTCAATTGTAACAATTCATGAAAAAAATAGATGAAGTAAATAAACTAAATACATACACTGCTGCTTTCTGATTGTCCCCAAAATTTTCCATAAATTCTAGACGGAGATCCTGGATACGCTCAAAACCTTCCAAAGCCCGAACTAAATCCCGAATTTTTCGTTTATTGTAACGCATACTTTCGAACATTTGCGCTCGGCTATCAGGGTGCTCTTCTGCCCGGTATTTCAATCCTAATGTGTGTATTCTGAAAAAAGAAAAAAACATATACTTCAAAAAATAAAGCTCTTAATATACTCACCTCCAAGAATAAAGCTTACTTTTGAATTAAGCGTTCCAAATCAGGTACTTTACGCAACAGTTCTATAGCTTTATCAATAAATGTCCTCAATCTCGCTTCAGAAAGCCATTCTATTGCATCCTGCCGCGAACATAGAATCTCCCGATCGCAAACAGGAGCACAAATCCACTGCCGAAGGAGACGTTTACCTGAAAACATTGATCAAATTCGGAATGGTTTATAAAAATGATGGAGAAGAAGCAAAACTATAAAGCTTTTGAAAGCTATAAAGCGTCAAAAAACTTTAGGAGTATTCGAAAATTTTCTACAAAATATACCTGCCGGAGTGACACATTTATTAATAACATTATAAAGCGTATATTTTGCGGTAACTGGGTCACACGGTGAAAATTTCTTTATAGAACCAATAGGTGGTATAATATTCAGGTGTTTCAAAGCAAGGCTATCCAAAATGAGACGGCGTCCACTCCAGTATTGTTCACTACCTTCTTCTTGATCCTTAAAAAAATTCGGATTCCGCAATATTAAATGATCACAATAACTATTTATTATATACAAAAAGATAAAAAAAGAATTACAAGAAAAGCACAAGAAAAAGGCGAAAGTATGTAACGATGAAGGCTTGGGGACGAAAGTATGTAACGATGAAAGCTGATCGGGAAGGAAGCAACATAAATCTCTACCTTATTTTGGGAAAGAGGTCTTGTAAGGTTCATAGGTTTGTATAACTCAAATCTTCGCATTGAAATCATATCAACATCAATTAAGCATCTTCCTAAATACCTGAAATTTGAAAACACTTGAAAAACTTCAACAGAAAATTTTTCACTCAAATAAACTAAACGTTTTGCATGTAGATATCGAGAAGATGAGAAATAAATTCAGTGAATTTCGAAAAAGATGGCTAAAATATAAAGCTAATTACTGTGTGAACGAACCAAATAACAGCTCCTAAAGCTGAAACACATGCATCATACGCAGGATTACACTTTAGGACCAAGCTGTCTCTATCCATCATATCAAGTATGACTGTTGGCCACTTATCATATAATTCGCCGAAATATTTATCGCTTGCCAGCTGCAACAAATTTTTAAACTTTTAATTCACTTAATATTATTTAATTACCAAGCAATAGAATTACAAAAATTTCACTAGTAGATTATATTATTTTGAAAATGAAAGAAAAAAATCAATGTAAGCAGAAATAACAAAACAAAAACTAAAGAAGCTGGCACACTTAAACGGATTTGAATTTAAATTTTTCCGATACATTGAATTCGTACCAACTTCAAAGTGTTTTCAGATGCCAAAAATTCTTTCTTCGGAACTAATGCCTCTTTTGGCACTGCACTCACAGTACTATTAAACACAGTCATTGTCGATGACGAAACTCGTCCGCGTTCATATAAAATCTGTAAAGATTTTAGTAAAAGAAAATTTGAACTAAAAAATAATTGTTTACTTCTGACAGTCCAGTGACAAACCTGGGCTGGTTGATAATGAGAAAATAATGTCCTTAGAGCAGAACAATTATTGCCATCCGAGATGCAGCCAATCTGAAATGGTTTTTTGCAAAAAGATAAAAAAGTAAGATAGCCAAGAAACGTCAAATTTAAAGTGTATCATACCTTCCAAAGTATTTTCGAATATTTTCAAAAAGCTCTTTCCAAACAAGAAAAACGTACATGGAACAGACCGATGGTTGTATCGATGAAACAGACACCATATTCTACACTTTCTGTACCCTAGAAACAAACAAATTTATGCCATCTAATAACATGACCAATCAAAATACATTATGAAAATCAATCTGCTCTCAATATTAAAGTACCCTTTCAGCTATAGCGTATAAGTGACGTGCTGTTGTATCCATCACATCCACAGTGCTTTGTTCATCATTTCCATCAAGTACTCCGTATGTTCGAGTGCCTGATGTAGCAATATTGCACACTTCCCTGAAATATTTAGACTTTAAAAAAAAAAAAAAAAAAAAAAAAAACACTATAAGCGCAGCAGTATCAGATTTGTAAAACATAATTTGAGTATTTATTCAAAAGTGAAGCCACGATTAAGATAGCTGATCTTGCATAAAAAATAAGAGTTAGTATTATGATTATATAAAGAACCTCACAGCTCCAAGTTTACAGTGTATATTTATAATTAAAAGCTAAACGAATTGAAATAAATCAAAGTCTTTGATATCTAGCATCGCCTATTTTTTTCAACATTAGGAATACGCGCATGTCGCGGACTATCGCAGTGAAATACTTATGTTGAATCGCACCTCCTTACAACTTTGTCATTAGCTTTCTCGATCTTATTTCGACTTTCTAACTGCGTTGGCGTTTCAGTTTGTTCTACACGAGCAACTTTATATCCTCGATTAACCAGCTGATCAGCAAAACGACCGTAAGCTACTTCTGGAAATCCACAATGCGCAAAATTACCCTAAAGAAATTCATTTCACCTAAAATGATCTAGAAAAGAACAAGCAACTTATTAAAATAAGCTAAATTTAACTAACCCTCATGTAACTGAGATTTAAATTTTCGACGCCAATGACAGCGTCCATATGATACATTTCGTAAAACTTTCCAACTTTAAAAAACAAAACTGTATCAAAATAAGCCGATTTAGCCGCCCACCACTGCCGGTGTCCTAAAAAATATTTTAAAATTGTGAATTTGTGACAACAGCGCCATATATAAAATAAATTCGGTGCAAATCTAAATCTTTACACCATCTACTTTTGTGAATTTCATTGGTTCGAACTTAATATTTCTTTGGAATCGTAAGTCATACCAGGTGTTTGCCTTTTCATGAATGCTTCTGGCACATACAAAGTGCGCGAACAGTAATCTGGATGACTACGCAAACGTTTATCTGCATCACGAATGCGATCTGGTTGAAGAAAATCAAAGTCTAAATGAGGAAATCGCACAGATTCAATATCGGGCACAGTAGCCAAACATGTAATAGATGCGCTTTCATTCGTTACATCCCTACCAATTGAATAATCTAGTTTTGACATCGTCGTAGATGAACCCTAAATCCGCATTAATAACAAGTACTATGGAATGATTAGAAACGCATACATCCAAGAAACTTTTTAAATGATTAAATCAATGAAATTTGGCCTTAAATGAAAAAAGACTTCGGTCAAAAATTTTGCATTTTGAACTTTGATCAGGATCCACAGAAACGAACTGGTGAGTATTGTAAGTTAATTAAAGAATGCAATAAATGATTCAATACAGACTTGTTCTTCAGCTCGAAACGAATTGATAAACGATATGGCCGCCTCACTCATAATAGGCTTTGAAGGTCTGGATTCGTTTACCGACGAAGTCTCCGAAGAAATATTTCCATGATGGAATGACTTCTGCAAAACGAAATAGTGTTGTTTTTGAATTAAATTTGACTTTCGTAATTCAGACTTCACTTCAGCTTACACAACCTATACGTACGGATTTCCAACAAGCCTCAAGTCACGCGCAAAGTCAATAACGATTTACTAAGGAATTTAGGATCAAATTTTCAAGATCTAATAATGTTCCCATATTAAATTTTATATATTCAATACTGATTTTTTTTTCTAATTTCGCAATTGCTATTATGAATCAGTGAATAAATCAACCAAATTTTACAAACCAATTGGGACAACAAGCCGCTCCTTACTGACTTATATCTTGGACTTCGCAACATGTTTTCCTCACTTTTTTTCACGTCGATCATTTCAACATCATCATCTTCTGAATCAGATGAAACTACCACACGGCGACGCTTCGAGTGTAACTTTTTTACTGGTGAAAGTTCTTCATTTGGTGGTCGCTTCGTATGCGGGTCTTAATTAATCAATTCAATAAGGATTGAACTTTTCCTTTAAAATCTCCCAGAATGGTACTGGAGGATGTAAAATCTACCAGTTGAAAAAGATTTTCTTAAGACTTCAGGAGTTTAATTAGTTCAATTTGATTTTCTAAGTTCATTCTTTTCATAAAAAGTGCACGAAGATTACTTAAAATCTAATTATAAAAAACGTTAGCAAAAAACTGATAAACTTTAAAACATTTTCCACATTGCTAGTTAATGAGCAACTATCCAATTCAAAATCTAAATCATTGATTTGTAGGTAGTTTTCGCTTACTTTATGTGAGGTTCTTTCTTTAAGTTTTATATAAATGGCGTTGAATTATTTGAAAATTTATAGTGTAAACGAGCCAGAGTTAGCCAAACCCCAATGTTTAAGTCGTCAAAATTTGTTTTTTGAAATAAATCTAGTTTGCTGATGCCTTTCATAAACAAATTAAAATTATGTATTAATAAAGCATTTTTAGTGGCACCTTCTTCCATTCGGATGTCATTCTCCCTATTAACATTCTTTTGCATTCTCCAAACTTTGGATGGGGTGATTCGCTTCAGGTCGGTCTGGAAAAAAGAGTTTTTAAATTTTTGAAATTCAGAGTTGGAAGCACTGAACAACACTGCAACTGAAAGATATTTGAAAAATATATGATTAATGGGATATATTTACTACTTTTCACTTCTTTTAATCGGAAAATATTGAATTATTAATAATTTGAGTTAATTTTCACAGCTAATTCTACCGTTTTTTTGTTTCCTCATCATTGATTAAACGAACATTAATTCCACTTTCGAATAACGACTGAAGTATTTGCTTGTCATTTCTTTCACATTTCTTCTAGTCCTCTATTGATTTCTTTTTGTTTTTATTCTAATTGATCTCTAAAAGGTGAGAGCAAATGTGAACCCTCAAAAAGGCGGGATATCCTTCAAATCAATGAAAGGCGACAATAAATAGTAGTAAGAAGCTGAAAGTGATTAAACTGTGAACGATAATTTGGGATCAATTCTGTCAGTCGAGATATGTGTCACTCGTATGTTTGAAGCTTACTTATTTCGTTTTCTTTTTAATGGGATTTTTTACTAGATGATAAGATTTTTATTTTAGTGGATTTAAACTTTGCAGACCGCTTGATTTCCGACGGGTACATCTTGCATCGCATTTTTTGGATTCGGACTTCTGGTGAAAAATGAAAGTAGAGATGCTTGCTTCTTCATAGCCATTCTCTGAATCAGTCCTGAAATGTTGACACAATGGTTTATGAGCTTTTAAAATTTTATACGCTTCATTTTTTTGAAAAATTTTTAGACACAGTCTTCGAATGCATTATGAGCTATAGCGCAGTGCAACTACTGGAAGTAGAATATCATCTAACAGCTAGGTATTGATTCTACAGTGATCAACTTTCTATTTTTACAATTCAAAATTTGTTTTGATAGTGGCCTCAAAGCACGAGCTACGCATTACGAATAATTAATGGAAGACGAAAATGGAAAATATTTGTGTGAAATAAATTGCAACAAAAGAAGCTAATGGAACATGTCGTAAGTTTCAAATCAACTCAAAGTTTAAAAGATCCCTCGATATCGCTGCATGACATTTACCTGAGACACTTCACAGCATTCAAGCAGTTATCGATCGGTATATAAGGAAGCGGACGAGGCGTGTGTTCACTTGTTAGTGTCTAAAAAATGCATAGATTGAAGAAATACAGGAATGAATGCATCTAAGAGAATAACCCAAGTAATGTAAATAGCACTATAAAATCCCTTAGAAAAATTCAAATATTCCCAATTCCATTCAAATTGTAGTTTTCATTTAAAGTTATTGTTAATGAATGTCCCTTTTATTAATGATAACTCTTTAATAATTATAAGTTGTATCAAATTTTTGGTTTTCAGAAAAGTTGTCGATGAAAGTATGAACTGCAATAAACTCATTAATAAATGTATTGTGAGTTATATCATGTATAATACAATGTTTTGCTAATTACGCGTTTACCATATGTCAAATTACGTAAAACTATTCCTGATAAAAACAAAACGTGTGAAAGGCCAAACGTAGACAACCATAGTGGAAATGTGCTGTTTCAAAACGTGACTGGTCTTAAAGCGATATCTTTGATGCCGTTGAGGTAGCTTTTGTATGGGGTTGAGTGACAGGACAGGTGGCTATTTGTTCGACTTGGGTTCGGTAGGCTGGTGGTTGCTCTTCTGGGTTGGGCAGAGTTTTCGCATGTGTGCGTCTGGTAACCACGTGAGTACGCAGATACAATTTAACGATAACAAACAGACATGAAAGTTTTGCAATGTGCATATTGCTTAGTGCGTGGTTCATAAGCTTTCCCGGTATTTGACGTTATTTATTTTGAAGTTAGATTTAGATGCATATGTTTGAGAGCTCTGTGTAAAATCTAGAAGACCGCATTTTTCTACAACAGGTAGATATGTAAAAGATAGAATCACTTGCATTGTTGAAACATTTTCAAATATGCTGTCGTCAGATCTCATTTGAAGCTCCAGTGAATTTTTTTTGTTGGGTTGCACGTATAGCGACGTCCGAAAACGTGAATGATATAAAATTGTAAATAAGTCATTTCAGATTTGATTTCCAATTGCTGAATTTGATTGAAAATGGGCGGCAAAGGTGAAGTAGGTGATCAAAAAATCCGTGCCACACAAGATCAATTACGGCTTGCGAGATTAACGCAGGATTTGTCTATAACAGACGACGATCGTGCGAACATACAGAAGCTTGTGAAAAAGGTAGAAGTTATATTGATCTTATATATAAGTTTGACGCAGATTTCGTATCGCCGTAATTACCAATAACAAAGTCTTGCAGGATTACTATTAAAATTCTGGATGATGAATAATCCCGAGTTGTTGGTCGAGAGTTATAATAGCTAGAATCTTTACGAAATTTAAATATTAGGTGAGCAAATTTCAGGTAGTGGAGACAACAAGATGTACCGTAAGCCAGGCTGAAATTGCTCTATACGATAATAATAATGATGTGCAAGAAGCAGTAAATGCCATTTTGGAGGATAATTATCCAGATGAAAATGTCTGGAAAGAACAGAAAAGCAGGCGAGCGAAACGAGCCGAAGCGGAGGAATTAAAGCATGAAGAATCGAATTCTCATAGGAACCGAATCAATAATATAAGATCATCGAATAATTTCGGTACCATTTCGTTTCTTTAACACTTCTTGTTTGTCTTTGCACGTTCAGCACGCACTGATTAGCGTTGAAATATATAATGCTAAAATTTACTTCATGTTAGCCCTAGAGTTTTCTACTCCTGTAGTAATTGGCATTGTTCAGGTGATATTATGATATAGGATCATAAAAATAAGGTGTAATGGTAATACAGGATTTGTTAGTATATGTTGGTTCTTTCTGAAGTATATTTTTTGTTGAATCATGCCAAACAACTTTACGCAAAAACGTTCGTTTTAGGATATGGTCGAGGGCGAGGAGCAGAACGAGGACGTAGTGGTTATCGAGGCGGACGTGGAGGTGGTCGAGGTCCGTGTCGAGGTGGATATCAACACTCGTCATCTCAAGGGCAGTTTGGCAGTAACGTGACAAGCAACGTTTGGGATAATTCGCAGGCATTGAAGGTGGATCTTGGCAAAGAATGGACAAATGCAAGCGCAACTGCTGTTGATGACAGCGCTGAAGATACAGAATGGGTATATGACTTGTTTGTATTACTACAATGAGGTTACAACTCCATTTTTTCCTGATTTCCTTATTCTTACCTTATCAGAATATACTCATTTTTTCAGAAGCAGCATGGTACACTAGTATTTTCACGAAGTATGACACCACCAACCACTACAACTCCTGCAGTAAACACAGTTGCCGGGATGAGCTCGATAACGCCAACTTCTGGACCAGTATCGTTCGCTGCTGTTGCAGCTGCCGGAACCAATAAAGCGAAAGAAAATGCGCTGAAAAGTTCTCTAGGTCGATCTGGGACAGGCGCGCCACCAGCATTGGGACAATCACAACTCGAGAATGTGAATTCACTCTACCAGAAGTTTGCTTTGTTGTTGCCCTTTTTTTTCTATTTTTGACTATTTTCATACAATTTAGTTAATGTGTTGTGCAACCGAACCCAGGTCTTTAGCACTGATAATATTCTGATGAAAAAGCACTGTAATGGTACTAAACATCATTTTTGAAACTCAAATGTATGTGCATTTCAAAACATCAAAACGAAATTGCGGTAGTGAATACACTGTTTTAACTGTTACCCTTTCTCATATGGAAGAGAAAGCCTGTTTGATTACATACATACATATCAATTTTGAAGACATTTGACTAGAAAATGAATAGTATTATGATTTAATGCATGCTGACTTAATAAGGTCTCTATAAATTTCTGCAAATTAGGGTAATTGATTTATGGTTTTTTTCGTGTGTTTATAATAGCAAGTAATTTCTTTATTTATGCTTCAGCTGTTTGATAGTGAATGCATTGTTTTAACTGGTATTAAATACTCATTTCAGCAGTGGACTTGTCTCAACCAGTAGTCAGTTAACAGCTCCTTCCGAAGAAACAGATAAAGGGCGTGAAGCTCGAACATCACCCTTAGTTGGGCATGATGCTTCTGGATCAACAAATTCTGTTGCGGGGACGGCGATGCATGGAGCAAGTGTATCGCAACAGTCTCGAACAAATGCATCTGTTCCTACTGTAACGAATACATCAGCGGATTGGACCACACAGTTGAAAAATGATCTAGGAATTGGTGGTGCTGCTCCTGCTACAAAACCTAATGCAAATCAACCGGGTTTAATGTCCAAGTCGCCTCTGCAGAATACTAAAGTAGGTCGAGCAACACCTCGCCATACCACGCATTCCAGTACTGTGGAATTTGTGTCAGGAGAAGCAAATGGCCCAACGTTGCCCGAATATCAGTTCGGTTTTCACGTTGACTCAGCGACGGGAAGTGATGAACATGGTGATGATGTGTACGGTGCATCGGCTAAATCTCGATCCTTGAATAACCAGACTGCTAAGGTCATCTTTTGCAGTTTGTAAAAAATGGCTGAACGTGTAGATTTCTCTGCAGTATTTCTTTTCAGACTTCGCTCATGTATTTATCATTCATATCACTTTATGTGTTAACAACTTCATGTCGGTTGGTAGTTGTGAAATTTTTCTGGCTGAGCATAAGTATGAAATTTGAGCGAACATCGTGGTCATACAATCCTCATTGTATGGGAAAATGCATGCTTCAAATTATTTAGGCAGGCATTCCGCTAACAATAATAGGAAGCCGGTGTTCTTGTCAAACAGCAGTGCAGGCTTCCATCATTTTATTTTCAAATTATTTCTTAAATATTAATTTTGTTTCAGGGTGAAATGAATGCCGATTCATCATCATCCATGCTTTCAAATGGACCAGTGGGCGATTATTCATCGTCAATAAGTTCACAGCAGCCAAAGGTATATGTTTTGTTGTGATCCACTGAACTGCGATATTGACTGGAACTATTCATTTATTAATCTGCTAATTTCATTAACACGAATTAAGAGTAACCCTCCATGATTTGTCATTTACAAGAAATATAGCCAGCTACATTTGTATTTATACGCGAATAATTTCTGCAAAGAAATGAGATGTCGTTTAAACAAAGAATAAACTAAGAGTGTCGTTTCAGATATCATCCGGGAACGGTAGTGTTTCTATGCCTCAATCTTCACCTGCAGTACATCAAACAAACACAATCCAACGTCAGCCAGTTACATCCGGGTTGTCATATGCTGATACATCAAGTATGTCATATCCATCGTCTGATAGTCGAAATACGGCCAAGTTACCGCTTTCACTACATCATCAGCAGGTAAGTTATAATTGGTAATAATTTTAATTGTACATGAATGTGTTGAATTAGTTTGCAGTGACATTCGAAGAAAGGTTGGTTCGGACGTGTTATAATCTTGTTGTTGGTGGTCACTTAGAATGGATTCTCCAGATATGATTATTCAGATCTCCTCTTTATTCCAACAATTTTGCAGCAAACACCACATACACTTTATACTACAACGCAGTTGCCATATGCCAACTATCCATATCTAAATATGTACAGTCCAATGGCAGGAGTACGACAAGATGAGTATGCTGCAGCATTGGTACAGTACCCATTCGGTTAGTGTTTATCAGTTCGTAGATCGCTAGGGAGATATTAGCAGTAACTCTTTTTTTTCTCTTTGTTAGCTCCGACATGTAACTGCGATTACAGGGGTTGGACAATTTGATATGAACTCGCTGTCAACAATGTTGCCTCCAGCAGCAGCAATTGCGTCACAACAACAGCAGAATCAGCCACCACCTCCAGTTCAGTCGCAACATCAACAGCGACCGGACCAGCATCCCAGCATTGTTGATCTCTCGAAAGTATGATGTTTCATTCTTGATCTCTGAAGAAACAATTAATATTGATATTTATTAGTCTTCACTATCTAAAATTATGACCGTATTATTCATTTGGTTTCAGGCTTATTTGGCGACGGCTGCGGCTGCAGCAGCAAATAACACAATAGCGAGCGGAACCGGCTCTGGTATATTGGGTAATCAACAACAGCGTGACTCAACTGCAGTGAACAGTTCTGCGGTTGCTCCACCACCCGGTTTCAGCGGTCCACCAGCTGCTGCGTTTACACTTCCTCAGCACAATCACATCAATTCAATATTCCAAGTTTGTGATGTTTTTTTAAGCTTGAAATCAACTTATAAGATTCTCATGAAAACTGTAAGTTACTGTTGAAAAGAGTTTTTGGAAAAAACGGTCGGTATTTTAGGTACCGCCGGCTGCCTACCATCCACAAATTAACCAGTTGCCCTTTTCATTTATGTTACCGAATGTTACTAATGGACAACATAAACTAAATCATCAAATGTTTGCACAACAGAATGTTGAGGATTCGCTTTCTGACCAGCGTCTTTCTTCTCAACAGCAAAAGGTTGGAAATATATCTGATTTTTTTTTTTATAATTGGAATCTTTTTATTTCTGCCTTCAGCTTATTTTTGAACAAATTATCGATTTTCAAACCTTTAATCATTATTTTTGTTTCTGTTGTAGGTTTACCAGAGTCATCAACAACTGGATAAGTACGGCAGTTCAACTAATACAAAGGATCGTCTAGGAGCAGGTGCACAAGCAACGCCGCCGCCGCAGGTGTATCAAACACAAGGATATATGTCACAGATGCCACTGCATGGTCACAAGAAAGCATATGGTGGCGGACCGCAACATTGGAGCGCGTCGTAGATTACTATTGTTCATTGTAAAAGTGGAAGAAAAGCAAAACTGGAAAAATTAGCTCTCGCCTCACTATCAGTGTTAATAATTTTCATGTTCATGTTACATGAGTGCATATATGAGAGATATGTCTATGTGTGTGTTATATGTACTAAGAAACATGTCAAATGTTGCATTCTCCTCCAAACTGTTAACTTTATCTTATACATTATTAAGTTTATTTTTTCCGTTGCATTCACTAGAATTTGTAAGAAATGTTTTCCTTTTTTCCATATAGTAGCAGTTTAAATTTAATTTCTTTTTGATGGTTTTGCGCATCTATTGTATTTCCATCTTTTTTTGCGCGGTAACGTAATTTGCACTAACCTTGATCATTACCAACCGTTTATACATAACGTATTCACGTTTTACTTGGATTGAATTTCATCATTTTTTCCGAACTTCAGATTTTCGTTTTTTTCTTCATGTGGTAGCATTGTGAATATTACATATTAAATAGGAATTTTATTTGAATATCGGGTTATTTCTCAAAAAAAAGGAACATGAAAGCAACATGTGACAAACAAAAGCAGATTTTAGTTCCAAAATTATCATTATTTTCTTAAGTAAATTTTGTTACTGTACTGGAATAAATCGTTCTATAAATCCGACACAATCGGTGTTTGTTTGTTTTCTTCTTTCTCTTCCCCATTTTGGAAATAGTTTACATTGAAGCTACGAATTTTATTGCTGTTGATTCCTATGCTTCTAGGACAGAGTGTTCATTTCAACTTAGTGTTAGGAAGATTTCTAAATCAGGCAAAGATCAAGTTGTGTAGTTTCAGAAAGAATATGCGTTGTTTCATAAGGCCTGGTTGGGAAGTTTTTTTGCATCAGACGTTCAAGTTTAGTAGGGTGCAGTGATTTCATATTTATATTCATTCTTAAGACATTGATTCAATGCATGGTTGGTGTCGAACGTAATACGTTATAGAGGATTAATTTCTCGACATTTTTGGTATAGCGACCGTTTTGCACCAAGTTAGGCTGATGTTCATTATGTAAAAGGTCGGGTAATTCATTTTTTTCCTGTGGATTTATCTGAGTTAATGTTAGGAGCGGCGCTCTAGCTGCGGATAATACTTTATCAACGGGGATTTGAGATTTCAAGTTTTATGTTCTTTGACTGCTTAAAATCCACTGCGATCTTCTGATTCCCGCTATTCGAAACTATCCCTTTTCGTTTTTAAGACAATGTCCCTATATAATCCTAGATTATATCTTTTTCAAATTTTTTTTAAGAGGTTTTCTTATCGCTTTTGCGAGATGATAGGAGGAATATGTCAATGTTTACGGCGATTATCTTCATCTTCATCTATGGTCACCGTAACAGCAATGAAACAAACAATTAGTGTTATGGAGTATACACAGCGTCGCTCGAATTTAGTTGCCAAATTACGAGAAACGGTCTCAGAAATCAAAAACAAACCCTTGGTTGTGGTGCTACGATCCGCTATACGTCAATTCTATGCTCCGGATATACCGTATCCATTTCATCAGTGTTCGTATTTTCGGTACTTTACTGGTTTAAATCAACCGGATGCTGTGCTCGTCATATCAGCAGGACCAGAGCAAGAACCAAAGTCAGTTTTATATATTGAAGGTATTATTTGCCTTTTATTTTCTTGAATTCAATTACTGTGTAATTACTTATTTAGGTTCACCTAATACTAATTAACAATTCAGGCATTTCACTTTTTACATTTTTATAGTTTAAATATCCATATGTAGTTATTTTTATTTTTGGTTATAGAACGTTCTGAAAAGCAAGAATTATGGGAAGGTCCTGGCCTAAGTGCCAACGAAATTGCAAACATCAGTGGTTTAGATGAAATCAAAGAACGAAATAAGCTAATTGATGACTTACAAATACTAATTTTAAATACTGCTGGTTGCGCTGTTTCGTATGATACTACAACAATTCATGCATTAAAAGATGGTCTTCCTGAGGTAAATTAAATTTTTTGAGGTCAGTGGAGTCTTTTTATCTGTTTTTATGACATATGCTTTTGTTAATCCACTGTTGATTTGTTGAAATTTTAAGCTTTATCATCTCAACATTCAGTATGGCATATCTCCTGATGATTACCTGATGCTAATCTTTTCTTTTAGTTTTTCAATCCACTAATCATCAAATTCCTTAAATCAACTTTTAATGGCAGCTCTCAAATCATTTTGATTAATTTGCTCTTTCGATATGCTGTCGATAATACATTTAAAAATTTGTGGTTGAATTGGGACTGAAAACTTTGATATAATGTGATGTATGTTCTTGTGAGTAATGTTGGAAAATCAGAATGCAATTTTGCCGATATTACCAATAATTGATTAATGAATAAAATGAAAGGATTGAAATTGAAGGTGTTGTCAGCATGTAATACGTTTGTGTCGGTACGTGAACATATTGACGCCTTGCGATGGATTAAATCATCAGCAGAGCAACATTTGATGCGGCAGACATGCTGCATTGGAGCACAGTCTATGAATGCAATGATAGCAAGAAGTCGAGGAGTTTGCAATGAAAACGAAATTGTCGGACGATTGGAGTTAGAGGTTCGACGTCGTGGCGCTGCCAACCTTGCTTATCCACCAGTAGTGGCTGCTGGCAATCGCGCTAACATCATACATTACCTGGATGCAAATAAGGTTTCTTTTTTCTTTTTTTCTTGCAGTGAACTCCAATTTTTGTATGTTGTGGTTTCTAATTTTGAAATTTATATTTTAGGCTATCGATGGTAGTGATACAGTGCTTGTAGATGCTGGCTGTGATTACGAAGGATATTCAAGCGATATAACACGGGTTTTTCCAGTTTCTGGTCATTTCAATGTTCTACAAAGAGCTATTTATGATGCATTGAATGATGTGCAATCCCGTCTTCTGGATTATCTTAGACAAACTGAGTTGATACGACTAAACGAAATATACTTAGCAATGATCGAATATATTGCGGAAAATCTTGCTGAAGTAGGAATTTTTTCGGGCAACATGGGAAAAGAGGAATTGCTTTATGTAAGTTTGCTCCTTTTTTCTAATATTTTTGAAGAAAATTGTCGATTAGGTGCAAATGCAATCAATAAATGAAATAAATTAGAGTCATCATTGCTTTATGTAAATAAATTCAAATTATCACTAATGAATTTTTAAGCTCCTTTTTTCAGGAAGCGAATAGACTTTGTCCCCATCATGTGAGTCATTATCTCGGAATGGATGTACATGATACTGCCTCTGTGGCTCGCAATATACCCTTACAGGCGGGAGTCACGTTTACCGTAGAACCAGGTAAGGCTGTTATAAATTTCGATATAGGATAGAATATCTGTGTTCTTGGCGATAAAAAGAATCAACCAAATGAAGGCTATAAAAAAACCCAAATGAAACTACTTATTTCCTATGCTTATTTTTAGGTATTTACATTCGGCATGACAATGAAAAAGTAAGGAACGAGTTTCGTGGCATCGGCATGCGAATCGAAGATGATATTTTGCTTGGATCGAATGGTGTAGTGGAAGTGCTTACCAAAGATGCTATTAGAGATCCAGCAGGCATTGAACTATTGGCGATGGCCGGATGTGTGAAACAAAGCAATGACGATCCTTTCATGTCGCAAATTCTACCTCGGTGATTGGAAGGAATATGGATTTCAAAATGCATTCATGGATTGACTTGTGGTAGGAGTATCATTTTCTTTTAATTTTATATGTTTAGATTACTGCTTTTTTTCTACTATGGTGCATAACCCCATTTTGAAAGAATTTGTTGTTGCCGCTCTCTTTAACAAACATTTGATTAAAGTATATATATATATAATTTGCTTTACTGAAATTAAAATTGAAATTGAAACTGTTGTTTTGCATGCATGCTATTTCAAGTGGAAGCAATTTGAGCATCAGAACAAATTATTACTGCAGAAAAAGGTCTCGAGAACAATAAACTTGAAATTACAAGACAAGAACAAAATATTGCTAGAAATGATTCGGAAATTTTCAAAAATTTCTATTATATAAAATAAAAATTTCTATCATATGAAAATTTGAATAATGTTTTACAGTTATGCAGCCAAATATGGCTGTAAAGTGTAAAATAAAACTTGCATTAATATAGGAAATTCATTCAATCTAAATATAATTTAACTTATAATAAAGCCGAGTGAAAAGTATTCATTTCGGTGAGAGCTATATAATTTTGTTGCTGTTTCTGCTGGTTTTGCTGATCAATACAATGATGATGGCAGTGACTTCGGTAATGTCCAGGATGAAGATGATGAGTATCCAGCGAGTGATCAAGATTCATCGAAGAGCATCTTGTTGGTTCCCAAATGACCGCATTTTTTCCGTTACTATCAACCAACGAAATTGATCTTATTGTTGTAGCTTGAAGACTTTGACGTTTTCGTTCTTTCATACGACGCTTAGCTCTTCGTTGCCACAAAATCGCCAATATGATGAATAGCATTAGGAGGAAGATTATTGAGCATGTTGATATGACAATATGTTGAGAATGGCCTAAGAATTGATACATCTATCAAATGACAAATATCGATAATTCGATATAAAGTTATTTCTATCTATTTAATCTATATTTCAATCATTCAGCATGAAATAGAGAATAATAAAAACTTCCAACAGAATATTATCATCTTATTTTTTAAGAGAGACTTTTACGTATTGCTATCATAAATGTTTACATATCATTTCAGAAAATCAACCATAATGTAATTAATTATTAACGCTGAAAAATTTTTAATATGATCGTTTTTGCTGATCAACTCACAGCAATTACTCATAAGTTAACTTTAACAGAGCTTAACAAATATTTATTTTTCATGTAGTTTTAATGTTAACTGTGTGGATGAATATGTGATAGTGACTTCAAGCTATTCCAAATAATGACTTTTTTTTCAAATTTGATACCTGAAAGCTATATCACCTCTCTATACTACTACTCTCGAATTCTAATATTATTTTAGAATTCTTAATATTAAGTAAGTTAGAGAATTATAACTTACAATCTTCTTCATCGGTATAATCATTTTCCGCACAATTATGGACACCATTGCAAACAAGCGATTTATCAATGCATAATTGAGTTCGACTTGCGCAAACATTTTGTTCATCATCGATGCATAATTCACCACCTTTGCAAGCAAAACCCTATAATTCGTTTCTATAAATTATCACTAAATTATTATCAGGAATTTTAAATTTTTCAATTTGATAATAAGAGATATTCGGAGAAATTGTTGTGGAATGATGAAAATGCTTAATGAATAAAGAAGAATTTCGGCTTATTTCGGATGACTATTTGAGGAATTTATGTAAAATACCGCTTAATCAAGCAGTAAATGATGAATTCGTTTGTCTAACGCTTATTTATAGATGTTTTAAAAGTTATATTAAGAAGTAAAGATTAACTTAAAGTGAAATTTGCCATGCAATTAAGTATTTTAATTTAACTTTTATAGCTCTCTCTCTCTCTCTCTCTCTCTCTCTCTCTCTCTTTCTCACTGTTCCAAACTGCTCAATTGTATCTCATATGTAAATATGAATATCAACTTACCAATATCCTCTAATAAAAATATCATTTATTTAAATTACTCGATCTATTCTTATCATTTATCAAGTAATATTATTGAAATGAAAATATCAATTAAATCCTTATTATCACTTAAAAATTGCTAGGAGCTATTCACAATGTGATCATATACTGAAGTGAAATTTTAGAAGACTTAATTTTTCATATGAAAGATTATTTCTCTTTTCTTTATTCTGAGAAAAAAAATGAAATTACCGGGCAAACTTTTCCTTCCGGTAAAATATTCTCAACTTCAGTCCATACTAAACGGAAACCAATCGGTTTATTATCTTTTTCATACTTTGCTAGTAATGATGGACTTGGGTGATCGTTTGTTACAAATCTAAAAAAAAATAATAAGCATTATTTAATTACATATCGCACACTCTTTGAAGTTTTTTTTATTGTTCTGCAATTAACTCATCGCTTATTGTCTTGTTTAATGAATGAAATTAGCAAAAAAAATTATAAGCATTATTGTATTATTATCTTAAGTATTACTATCTTTAAATACTATTTATCTTTAAGTATTATTTTGTCTCTTTATTGAATGATAGTTGCAAATTGGTAGAATTGCAATGATTACTTGTTCAGATAAAAAGATAAGATGATAAAATAATACCGAACAATGAGACGATTCCCGGTGGACAAATATGACTTCATACCTTCCTCGGTGTAATAAAGTTGACTGCCACAAAATTTCACCTGACTTGCATCATCCTTCTTTATAACATTTGTTATTGAATCATGACGATAACCATCTATTATATACACTGATGCCTTATCACATTCTGCTACAAATATACATGTTCGATGATTAATTGATGATAAAACGTTTGATTGAGTTATCTATCATAAATTAAATTATCAAATAAAATTAAAAATCTTCACTAAATATAATAATTAAGGTAATATAGATATTTGCTATAGTATTGGATGAAAAACGTTGAAATAAATCATTTGTTGGAAATTAAATTACCAAATAAAATATTAATATTTAATAATTAAGATGATATACGTATAT